GGGAAGTACAGTAGTCGATGCATGGGGATCACTGCATCCGCTAACTAAGAGCTATGCCGTATGGGAGCTGTAAAGTTGTATGTATGTTCCAGAAGTACTGTACATGTTTCCACTGTTACAGTATTTTTGCAGCATCACACCTCACTACGGAGTACTGAGTCGACCAGCATTATAGGTAGTTGGATGAAGGATACTTGCTGTTGAATTTCCAGATACCTAGAATATGATTTCCTCGTCAAGGTGCATCACCCAGTGTCAGAATATAGGTGTCCTTCGTGGATACCTTTCTTTCTTTCTATGCTAAACTCTTCTCCCCTCGGTCTCTCCCCCTCTCTCTACACATGCATAATCCACACATATATATATCATCACAATACACACAACCCAACAATCACAATCACAACTACAACTATAACTACAAACCCCCATCTAAGATACACAATAACATACACTCCAGACTCCGAATTTGCAATAATACCCCCAACCCACCGCCAAGAAACAATCAAATGTAATTTCCATCTCGCCCAACCCAACCCGATCCAACCCAGTCCCGTCCAGTCCAGTCCAGTCCAGATCCAAACCCCAACACGTGGGTAGTAGTAGTAGTAGTAGTAGTAGTAGTAGTAGTAGTAGTAGTAGTAGTAGTAGTAGTAGTAGTAGTAGTAGTAGCGAAAAGGGAACATGTAAAACCACGGATACACCCGGCTTAGGAGAGAATCTAGAACTTACTTACTAGTAACTACGGAGGACAAGATTTTACCGGGAGATAATGACGACAGCGAGACCAGACTGACAGATGGGACGTATACTAGATCTGAGATTAACTTTTTTTGGTTTTTGACTCGCTTGTGGTTTACTTTTCTTCATACTGGCTACGTATGTGGTAGTTGTAATTGTTTTGTTTCTGGTTATTTTAATATAATCATAAGGTAATTCCTACAAGCTGGAATGAATAGATAACTAGTCTAGGTACTCATACTCCTACTAAAGCATTCCCACTCATCAAGAAAGAAATAGCAGACATCAGTTATATTTAGAAACGTCAATGGAAATAAGAGATTAGCAAGAAGATGGTAAGCCGGCCGGCAAGTCAACATTCAACACACCAGATCAAATCGAATCTGCAAGAGAGGGGGGTGGGAACGGGGACGGAAGAGGAGGGAGGGGCCAAAAGGCCACCTTACTAAAAGCAGGGGCCCTGGGAAATAAGCAAGATCCCGCAAACGAGGTGCCCGAGATGGGATGGATGGGATGGATCATGGATGGGGCCGGGAGAATACTAGTCATCAAATGATCAAAGATAGAAGTACGGAATACTAGGTACGGACTATGGATCGTTGGGGAATGTCTAAGGTTAGATTAATTAATTTAAATCATCGAGTAGATTCTTAGGAGAAAAGGAAGAAACGGAATGGCATGGCATGCTCACTAGTAGCTAGCTACTCCGTAGTAGTCCGTACGGAGTAGCTATGGTCAATGACAACCCGGGTTAATTTGATTACAACGATCGCGATCGGCGACCATTCAATCAAAGGAACCGCGATAGATTAGTTTCCCGTCATTCGAATCTCTCTTTTTCTATTTTTTTCATTCGTATCCAGCTCCATGTGTTCCACTCTATCCATTTGATGGATCCTGGGCCGGGTTTGGCAGGGACCCAGCTAAGATGTTCTGGAATGTTCAAAGTTCCTATCACGGGTCCTTGGGTTCGGTTATGTCTCGTTCCATGGTTGTCGTTCTGCAATCAGGTAATGTTTACCGAATAATTTTAGTTTGAATTGCTCTGCACTTGGCTTTCTGGTATCTCTGGAACAACCCCCTCGTTTAGATTGATGGAACCGATGGTGGCCGTTTTCTGGATGAATCGTTGATGTTTTCTTGGGGGGTGATCTGGGTCCAGTCGGCATGATTCGACCTGAGGAGGATGACGGCGATGGAGAAGGAAGGAGAATCGACCCCGAAGGACCCCTGGCTGGCCTATCCGGAAAGGGAAAGGATATGACAGGTCCTCCAGCCATGACAGCCACGGGGAGGGGAACAGTCCCATCAACGTCAAATCGTGGATCCGCTGTCATTGGTTACCCCATTCTGGTAGGTAGAGGGGAACAAGACCAGGGGAATTCTATTTTCCCGGGCCCCTGCTGTTATTTTATTTTTCTGATTAGTTTTCTTATTATTTTATTTCTCATCTGTGGTACAGCCGGGGACTTGGTATGGATCGTATGATAGTCTGTCCCGATGGTGGTCCGGATTGACACCCTCGGACAGTCATCGTGATGATGTCGGCGAGGACAATGCCCCCTGAGACTTTCCCCTGGGAACTGGGTCGGGGAGGTTTGTCTTTTGGTTCTGTGAAGTCTGAGTCTTGGCTGGACACTGTGATGGACGAGCGTGTGCCTCCGAGGCACATAGACCGTCACTGCAACCAATCATGGATGGGCCATCTCGCTGGGGTCGTCATACAAACCTGTATTTCTTGATTTGTAACGCATGATGCGTAGGTTTTCTGCTGCTCGTAACGCCAGCATCTCGCTTTTGCAAATCGGGACCGATCTACCATCCAGATGAAAACTAGATTACAGATTCCGGGTTGATGGATGCATGAAGTATTGCATCGGTATTTGCTTAACGGAAAACGGTCCAGATGCGCTTGACCCTTCCTTGTTTGCTTGGCCATCTATCGGACGCCGCATAGAACGAAAGCTAAACTCACGGGCTCACGGGCTTATCGCCAGTACGCGCTCGCCACGGAATTGATATAATCGATCCCCTCCTTCCGCCACGTGTCGGGCTCCATGTAGCTCGTGACATTCGCATCAAACACCAGATCGACCGGCTGATCTTTCCCGTACGCTTGCCACCGTACATCCGAGTCCTTGATGCCCGAGTTGGGGTCCAAGTCGTGGATGAACGACGCCCACATGCTGGTCATCAAGTTGCTCAGCTGGATGTAGGACTCGGGCATCCCTGCGAACGGCTTCCCGTAATGGTACCCAAGTCCTGCAATGTTGTTGAACACGAACGAGACTTCTTCGAAGTGGGTGGCGCCGGACAGAATCGGGACGTCGGCCGCTCGCATGTTGAATCGATAGCAGTAGGCCGCCGTCGAAGTCTCCGTCCACGCCTCGCATTGTCGTCGGCGGTTGGCATGCATTACATAGTCCCCAGCGTACGCGCAGGTGCGCCGCCATTCGTAGCCTTCGGACGGGATCCGACTGGATCCGAGAAATTCGGGGATGCCCAGTGCTGGGTCATCGGGGTAGAGCTGCAGGATCTGCTGGGCGACGGTCGGGGGTAGTTTGAACCCAGATGAGCCATCTATGCGTGATTAGCCCAATTGCGGCCCTGAGAACGTCAACTGATCATCATGCATACCTGTGAGATATGCATAGAACTGCTCTGTTGTATTGATTCCAGTGGGCCCGAACGCGGTCCCTTCGTCGGTATTCGTTCCAGCAATGATAGGAACCTTGATGAATTCATGCTTGTCCAGCTGGAGACTACCCCAGTCCCGGATGAGATCGCCATCAATGACAGGCCCAAAGTTGTACTCTGATTCGCCATCAGTGCCGTTGAGAACAGCGTTCAACTGCTCGAAGGAGACTTGGCGCAGGCACTGCAGCGAATCCACTACATCGGAGCAATTGACTTTGGCCGCGAGATCATCGTAAAGTGATTGATATCCGGTATAGTTAGCTGGACTGGCTGAAATCGTACCCCCTGATTCCATGATCGCACCGCGGAAGAGTCCATCGTCCCTACCGCCGTATGCTGCGAGATGGTAACCAACTGACATTGCCCCGGCAGACTCGCCCCAGATCGTGATCTTATCTGGGTCGCCTCCGAAGGCCTCAATATTCTCCTTGACCCATTGAAGCGCAAGTCTTTGGTCCCTGAGGCCTAGGTTGGTGTTGCCAGTGCCCGAGACTTGGCTGGAGCTCAAGAAACCCCAGGCTGAAAGGCGGTAATTGAGACTAACAGCGATGAATGGCTTTCCTACAATGCAAGCGTCACAAATTAGACAATGCTTCCACCTGTGTCGGGAGACGTACCGATCTTATAAGAGTTGGAGACGATAGCAGACATGTTGTAGCGCTGGTCGGCGCTGGATCCCTCGTAGAAGCCACCACCATGGATCCAGACGCCTACAGGAAGCCTCGAGCTTTCATTTACCGAAGAGTCACGGATGACGTTTAAGGTGAGGCATGCTTCAGACTGCGGATACCAAATCGAGTCGGTCTAACAAGTTCTGCCATTAGATCGTCTCAATGAAACACAGCTCTCAAGAGAATACTGCGCACGTACACCGTATCCCACACAAATATCGGAGTATTCCATAGCGTCGTGCTGTCCGCTCCAGCTTTCATTCAGAGGCTGAGGTACCGTGAACCGCAAATCGCCAACAGGCTGCTGGGCATATGGCATACCCAGGAAGAAATCTTGCTGGTAATGCGTATTCCGCACACCGACATATGTGCCGTTGCGAACATTGGCCGTGGGACTGGCCGCGCCGGTTGGCGCCGCTTCCGCTGTGGCAAGTAAAGCAAGATAACCGGCAGCGAGTTTAAGCATCATGAAAAGGACAAGAGGCTTGCTACCTGTGCTCGCTCAAACAGCGATTGAAGGCATGATGAATAGCCATTTTAAAGAAAAGGGTCCAACTGTGGGGAAGCAGGGATAACTGCACCCCGGAGACTTCAAACCAGAGTATCTTGCATTAGGCTCATGAGGGGGTTCGATTTATCCCGAAAACATGGGGTGAAGGATGCGGGGAAAGCATTGAAGGCTCAACCGCCATGTGTGGGAATTTTCGCGCCAAGTAGGATTGTCGGCCAAAATGCGGAGCCACAGGGTCATGGGATGCCACGGGCCCAATAATTTTATGGCCGTGATGGCAACGATGGCATATTGAGGGCCTTGAAGTGCCGTACGATTTGCCGAGGAGCAAGTCGAATGGGGTCCTCCGGGAAGGCAGTTTCACGCGACGGCTGGATAGCGTGGTTTACCGAGAGCTTGCGGCAACATGAACGGATGTAATACCAGCGCAAATCATACCTAGTGCCAACATACCGGCTTCCGGCCAGAAGAGATGGATGAAGACCTGGCCGAGCAGAGACTCAAAATCAGACCAAGGGCCAGTGGAAGCGATATATAGGAACATATTGAGGAATGGAAGTGGTGTGCGAGACAAATGAGGAAGAAAAGAGGATGTGTGGATTGCTTGACCGCCAGACCAGACACCTGCAAATGCGCGATGTATGCTTAGGGTTAGACAGCCGTGCTCCTGCTATCTCCCGGATCACTTGGCCGGTCCCTTTAGGCAAAAATCTCCTTGTCTCTCACCAACTGATGACGGAATGCTCCATATTCGTTGGCACGGGCCGACTCCGTAATCAGCCTAATTGAGACTATACTTTGCTCGCTGAAGACAGCTTATCCGTGAGCAGGACCTCATGGTTGCACAGGGACAGAAGTGGCCCAGCCGAGAACCCCTTTACCAAGGTCAGGGTTGTACGAGGTATCATGTTGAGAGGGGTGCGAGGGATTCGTCGTACAGGCAGATGCGTGAGCTGACTTTAGACGTTCATGGGGTCTGGTCTTAAAAGTTGATTCAGCCCGATGGTATGAAGATCTTTGAAATGGTGGTCAGCCAGCGAAAGTATAGGCTGCATTCCTTGATTCTCGTCCTGAGTGCGTTGGACGAAGGTCTCAGATGATCGCGAAAGCTTCATATTGCCTTTGCACACCTCACCGGGAGCAAGAGGTACCGCCGTGGAACAAGCCCATCATTGGCATTGTAACGGTAACACGTTGGCTTGACTTGACTTGTTGTCCTTATATGAAAGTATAGCCACTGCAAATCTGTTCCATCCGAGGCGTGCTGTGACTGTGGCTTAAAATCACGCAGTGATTTCTTTGAGGGCCATGGCGGCCTAATTATCACTTGCTGCTGTTTCCACCGAAACCCAGAAGGTACAAGTTCTTCGATGACTCTCAGTCTACACATTTGCCGAACCAGAGGACTGCATATAATGCCAGTATCCTGGGGCAAGAGAAAGAACCATACCCCAATCATAGGCTCCATTCCACTTCCCCCTGATGTGCAGCTGGTGACAGGCATCATATGATACTAGTCGTCGTACCGATTCAAGCAGAGTTCATACCTATCACCAGAGATCATCACTATTTCGGTCCGAAACATCAGAGATGCACTGGATAATACCAAGTCAAACAGTTGCGCTGACGGGCTTACCTCCGTTGCCTGACGAAGTTGACTCCATTATGGCTGTCATTTACGGGTTTCTGGCAGCACTGAGGGCCAAAAGTCCTGTTGAGTTTGAAAAGTATTGTGTTCGGGCTGGAGGCATGTCAGTATGGCCGCCATCACCAACTCTTCCTCGTTTCTGTACCATCGGGGCTTTCGTGGAACAGGTAACGAGGATTCAGGACGAAATTGACGAGCGTATCTGGGACCCAGAAGTGAAGGTATATTCACCGGGGAATATGGCTGCGGTATGGGCACCCTTTCGGGCCAAAGTCAATGGGATTGTACATCATGTGGGGGTGGAGCTCTTTATTCTCCATAAACTCAATGGTGTGTGGAAAGTGACCGGGCTGGCCGATTCATGTCGCCAGCCAACAGAGGAGGAAAAGCTGTTGTTGCCATAGTGAATTCGGAGCGAAGAGCGCCTGCAAAGGGGGGCCGAGTATCTCTTAGGGTGGAAAGGAGTAGATATGCTCTTGAACAAGTGGTTGTGCCTGAATTATGGAGAAGAACAAAGGTTGATGAGTTCTGCTTGGTGAATCGCATGGCAGTTAGTTGTGGCCGCCGGAGCATGTGAGCCAGCCTCTGAATAGGAAAGAGTAGGAAAGAGCGCGGCGAGCAGAAATGAATAGCCTGACAACAGTTTTGAGTGTCCTCAAGGAGCCAACAAAAAGGCAGCGTCGTATTTATCCGTAACCATCAAAGTGTAAAGTATATGAAGATCATGCTATCTACATCTATATGCAGCAAAAATTTCCTTGGGTCGTCTAATTCTTCTTGCCTCGGAGGAGTTCCCATCCAACGGTGCCGTGTTTGCCCTCCTTCACGGTCATCTCATCCACGGCCTTCACCAAATCGTAACAGATCTCCTCCGAAACAACGCTGTCATGCTTATATCCAGGATGTGACGCAACGAACTCTCGAATCCATTTGGCTCCAGTCCAAAGCGTACCGTTCGCACGTTTGCGTATTAAGTCAAGGTAGCTAGCGAGAGAGCAGCGTGTCTCGACATCCACATTGACACTGTTCAAGTAAGATTCAACGAGTGGGATCAATCCGGGGAAAGACCCATCAGCGGAGCCGTTGATGATATCAGCAATAGTCATGAGGTCGTATTCGGACTCCACCGGGTTTAGCGGCGGTGATGGGGGTGGTGTGTTGTGAGCAGATGATGTGGTAGATGAGACGTTGCTACCATTTGGTGATTGCTGGTTCTGCCTGCGACGAGCAAATGGGTCTTTGCGGAAATAGAACTTCTGTTCCAACACTGCGTTGCGAGCATGCGCCGTCTCCATGTTCTCTGTCGTACGCTGGATTGGGATGTAGAAATTGAGATCGAAACTCAGGATTGCGCGAGTCACGAGCACAATAAAAATACTGAATGCAGCGTTCTCAAAGTCCGTCATCTGAATCTCCATGGATCGGAATTCGACTCGCCAGCCAATATCATCCTTGTCAGGCGGTGGTGGCTTGAAACGCATGTGCTGCCAATTGGTCGACTGCAAGTTTTCAAAATGGTCTGCTTTGTTCAAGTCTAGCTCCTCGAGGTCTTCCGAAAATATAACCAACGGATCGCGAATGAACAGGTGTGCGAAATGTGTCGCCAAAAGATCATCCATACCATCATCGATCAAGCGCTTTTTGATGTCTTCATCAATAATGAGGTTGGGATCCAGATATTCTTTCCTTAGCCTAGGGTCTTGGGAGATATAAGTTGAGTTGGAAGCGTATCTGGATTTTGGAATCCTCCATCTATCGTTTCTCAAGGGCTGTTTTAGGTCAGCATAATCCACAAGAATACTAAAGACAAAATAGACCTACAAGTTCACCAAGTTCCTCTCGCGTTCGGTCATCGACAGCCCCGCTGATCTGATTCCAACGGACATCTGTATCAACAAGAAACCCCTTATAGATAGGGGTAGCGGCTGTCAGGGCCAAAAGAATTGGGCCTAGCGGGCTCAGTTGGTCGTACAGCTTCCTTCCTTCTGTCATATTCTTCGCTTGGAAAGTTATCTGAAGACAACAACTGCCCATACCGAATGCCATAGCGTCCATGTAAACATGGCCATCTTTAGCCGCGCCATTTCTGACATCATCATCCTCGGGCCAGTTGTGAAGATCATAGTCCACAGTTGGATCCTTGAAGGGTTGAGGCGTATTTATATCCTTGTAAACGGGGACGTTTAACTCGATTTTCCGGCCCCTCCTCGATCTTATATTAGCCGCCAATGTTGGAAATCTGATATGGGGGTTGGCGATTTCGTCAGGAACGAACTGCGACCGAAGCGCAGGGCCTGATGGGGGATAATAGGGTTGGATATAATCGTCCTTTGTCCCCAAACGAGGAAATGTTGTGAGAGTGATAGGGCTTTCATTCGGTGCCATGTGGGCCTTTGCAACCTCACGACTGGTATAGATTGTTAGAGACATGACAATTTGCCTTGGAAGTCTGGCACTTACCGCCACTTCATATTTGACTCTACTTTCAGTAGGTCCTTGAAATCGATACCCCAAGGCTTCCCCGGTGTGGCTTCCAACATGAACCGACCGAATTCAGGGTGGAAATGAGGTGGTTCCTCACCCTCACTGGTGTTTATCAGAAATGGGCCCCTGGATTCCCCAAAATACCGGCCTAGACTCACTGCTCCTTGTTCTGAGAATGAGAAGAATTCCCTTCCTTCCATAACGCTTCGTCCTTGGCAAGCGATTTGAGGATTTCGGCCTGGGCGAGAGATAGGCGGGCTTTTTTCGTCTCATCGTCAACGGCTACGACGAGGTATTCGACCTAACGAAGGACGGGACGTTAGTACATATCGGATACACACTAGAATAAGACCTTCTCAACTTGCCTCATCACCCCAAAGAAGGGCATTCCGTTCTTTTCCCTTGGCTCTATGCCAATTGGCAAGTAATTGCTATCTCGTTAGCGAAGGACCACAGGTAGAGTGACTCCGGAAGACACGGAGACATGTCAAGATTGCTTACCTCAATGCCCCATTTGCGAACCTGATCTGCCCTCTTCTTGGCCTCTGGCCAGTCCAGGGCCGTCCCAAGCGCTCTGAAGGAACGGCCAATGTTAGTCTTTGCGCATCAATGAAGCCCGGCTTTGACCCAGCACACTCCACCTACAGCAGACCCATCTCGTCAGTACTAGGCGATCAGAATTCCAAAGGGCAAATTCTGGTCCTAGGTTTCAATGTTCCTAGCAGTCTCCGGGTAAGGCGAGAATTCGGAGATCAGGCCATCCAAGAACCCCGCGGAGATGAGGGGAACTTCCCGATAATGATCCCCGAACCACGGCAGGATGAATTAACGTCAGTGGCACGCAATGGCGCAATCCAAGGTGCAGCCGGCTAGACAGCGATATTTAACAAGCAAGTACGCACTGAATAAGAGGAAGGCGAGTCAGATGCTCTCCTTGTCGACTTTATGCTGAAATTCCGTCGAACCTTCGGGGGCCCCAGGCTCAATCGCCTATTGGCGGCCGGGAAACTTGTCCCTCCATTTCTGGTAGGCGAGCGGGGCAGTGAAAGCAGTGTCGGCGATAATCAACGCCGCCGATTTCTAAGCAACGTCGTAGAATACGGGATCATGTGATTTTTGCTATCAGTTGCTCCGACGCCGGCCCTATGGGCAGTCGACGGCGTTCTCTCGACAATCCAATAAATAAGTGCGCCGACTCAGAGAGCACTACGGAGTATCGCTAGTTAGGACTACCCTACCAGGTGTGCTCGCATGGGGCCATCGTTCCCAACAAGTAACAGCATGGCTGATAGCCTACGGGCATTCATCGAGGCGGGGTTCCTACTATACAGGAGCAACAAGGGCCGATACTACTTGCTCGGAGTGCTGCACGAGGATCTGTTACTCTAATTGTGTCGCAATGGTGGAGTTGGCGGGGCCGGGTTCCCTCCAACCTGAACCGGTTTGAATGGCTTATCCAAGGCAGGGTGATTGACAATTCCGACAGCCCGTGCTCATCATAACAAGCGCAATCAAAGAGGTCAGGCAATCACCAGTTACAGTTGAAGCCATTGCTTGGCCGATTGATGGTCCTGGTTCTCACAGATGTGGTGTCGGCAAGCTTAGTCTCGAATGAATCCCAACGCCAATGTCGGTGCATGGACAAACAATCTCAGAATCTCTATGTACATAACCCGCTCCTTTGCCCGTCTCGAATATTGTGCCGATGTGTGTGGTATCAGTTGCTCCGGGCACCACCCTTCGCAGCACGGAGCTCTTCCATCTTGGCAACGCGCTTCTTGAATTCCTCGTACTGGCACTTCTCGTAGCTGTGTCTCTCGTCCTATTTTGTAGATAAGAGCATGATATTAGTTATAAATTGTAAAATCCACGAGACACCTAGCAAGCGAATCTGGGCGCGAAACCTACCTCGCACTTCCAGGGAAGGTAGTACTCTTGCTGTCGGCAGCGGTTCAATGGGATCAAAAGGTGTGCGCAGGAGTCGCGGTACTGAAGGGGAAGACGGGCATCCGACATTTCCTGGCGGGAGGCAGCTATATACAATCGTCAGTCGTCAATCATTCAATGCCAACAGTCATATCACTGCGGCGTTTCGCATGGGACACCAATGGCAGCAATTACGTACCGGTGCTATCCGCAAGCCCAACGGCACTTTTAACAGACTCGATGACGGTCATCTTGGCACGAGGGGATAATGCAATTGGCGGTTGTTCCGACGATAGGCGACTGGACAGCGAGGTTTGCAGCTATCCGCAGTCGTCGTTCCTTCCGAACGATAAGTCATGTGATGCATATCACGTGTGTGTTGTTCTGCAACGGGATTAGCGCATACAATTCCACTTTACGCGGTTCGACGTACCCGGGGCGCGTCTTGCCCAGCCCTGCAATCCGTCGCGTTATGAGGTAGATGTTGCTGGGCTATTGACAACCCGGCTTGCCTTCAACTCATGTTCATGTGATGAGCCAAGCCGAATAATCGCTCTTGAAACTAATGCCTCGAAGAAGCTGAGTCCGGGTTCTAGAGTTCTCTTGTCAAGCCGCGAAGTCACACCGCAACTCTTATTGCTGTACGGGAACCCGCTGGATCAAGCCGCCTTGCGGAAAGGGCTCACTATGGCGGCTGTGGATTTTTCAAAGGTCTACTCTGCTACTTATAGCAGTGTAAGTCTATCCTCCTTGTGCCCCTTCGATTGCTGCAGGAACCTCGTTCTCCCACGCCTGCCCAATAGCCCTGTGCGGAAGGTCATGATAGCATACTAACCCTGGTAACTAGGTCCCGGTTTACGAGTTCAAACTTGACGGTGACAGTGTTATGCGAAGACGCTCCGATGACTGGATCAATGCCACACATATTCTGAAAGTAGCCGGCTTTGACAAACCTGCGAGAACTCGGATCTTGGAGCGCGAGGTGCAGAAAGGGGTTCATGAGAAGGTGCAAGGTGGCTATGGCAAATATCAAGGTAAGACTACCTTCCCGTCAATTATTTTCGTGGTTTTGACACGCTACAACTATGTACAGGAACATGGATTCCGCTTCCCGAGGGTCGTATGCTCGCCGAGCGCAACAACATCATCGACAAGCTAAGGCCGATCTTCGACTACGTGGCTGGAGACCGTAGCCCACCTCCTGCCCCAAAACATACCACAGCAGCTTCGTCGAAACCAAGGGCTCAAAAGAATGCAGCAAGTAAGAGAGCCGCAAACGAAGAAGCTGCCAATGCTGTCAAAGCTCACCGAAGTATGGCGCCGCCTACCTATACCTACGAGCACTATGAGATGAGTCATGGGTTTGATGAGGATGAGTCTATCGAACAGGCAACACTTGAGTCGTCTTCTATGATTGCGGATGAGGAAATGATGGCAATGTCTCAAAATGGTGCTTACTCGCGGAAGCGCAAGCGTGGGATAAATGAGGCCCCATCGATGTCGATTAGCGAACAGGAACATATACTTTACGGTGATCAACTCTTGGATTATTTCATGACGGTAGGGGATGCTCCGGAGGCCACACGTGTTCCTCCCCCTCAACCACCCACCAACTTCCAGGTCGACCGCCCCATTGACGACTCGGGCAATACTGCTCTTCATTGGGCATGCGCGATGGGCGACTTAGAGATTGTCAGAGATCTACTGCGGAGAGGGGCGGATATCAAAGCACTATCGATCCACGAAGAAACGCCACTCGTGCGAGCTGTGTTGTTCACAAATAACTACGAAAAGAAGACATTTCCGCCTCTGCTAGAACTCCTACTGGACACAGTCTCTTTCAGAGACTGGTTCGGCGCTACCATATTTCACCACATAGCGGAAACCACTCGGAGCAAGGGAAAGTGGAAGAGCTCGCGATATTACTGTGAAGTATTGCTAGAAAAGTTACGCGTTACCTTTTCGGTTGAGGAGGTTGATGTGTTACTATCCTGCCAGGATTCGAACGGTGACACTGCTGCTTTGGTTGCCGCTCGGAATGGTTCATTTCGTTTAGTTGACCTCCTACTGGTTCGGTGCCCGCGATCCGGCGACCTATTGAATAAAAAGGGTGAAACAGCTGCAGGCATCGCCCGACGGGCCGCACCTCATGAGCGCGATGTCCCTCTTCCCCCCTCATCCATCACGATGGGTAACGATCAAGTGGATGGTGAAGTCATAGCTCACGTCACGTCTGATCATCAACCTACCACCCTTCCGCAGGATCCGTCTCCTGCTACCTCAACACTCCTCTCTAAAATCGGTGTTGTCATGGCCGAGGCAAACAAAAAACTTGCCGTAAGTTACGGTGGCTCCAAAGCAAACCAGCAAGGTTCAGACGACGTTGCGAATCCGGAGGCATTTTACGCGCAACTGGAATCAGATCGACAAAAGATTCAGAAACAAACAGCTGTGTTGGTGGCGAAGGAAGCTGAAGGAGAATCAATCGACACACAACTTGATCGCTACGAGCAGTTGAGAAGTCGCTATGAATCTCTCTTAGAGCAGATCCAACAGGCTCGATTGAGAGAAAGGATGTCATCAATGCCATTGCCGGAGAAGGAAGGCGCAACATCATCCGTTTCTGAGCAGGATAGACTGGTTCACGCATACCAAGTAGCCCGGCAATTGTGCGCAGCTCAAAAGGCTCGGTGCGCAGCTGTCAAGGACCTTGTTCAACAGACAGCGGATGCAGGTGTAAGCACCAAGTTCGATATCCACCGCAAGCTGGTAGCACTTGCCACAGGCCTCAAAGAGGAAGAATTAGACCCAATGGCTGCAGAGTTAGCTGAAACGTTGGAATTTGATCGGATGAACGGAAAGGCTGCAGGCGCGGAGTCACCAGAGCCAGAGCCCAGAGAATCGGCTACGTTCCCTCTTCCTGGTCCAACGGTGTCCGTGGATGCATGATCAGGTAAGGAAAGATCTTTCCGGTTATCGATCAGCTGCATCCGCAGTTTACCCATCCGTGATGAAGTGTCGTCGTTATAGGTTACTTGTAAATTATTGCGGACTGAGCATGATATTCCATCATGATTCCCAGGGTAGCAGAGACTTACTCTACTTGCCTCCCACCTTTTCAATGTTCTGGACACACTGCTCTTTATGATCACTGATGCTTGTTTTCTACTTCTGGCGGGCAATTTGAGATTCCAGCTTGCCAGCAGATACCCACTTAATTTTTTCGTCAACCCACGCTGTTTTCTATTTAAAGATTTCCATGATCTCCTTGTTCCTTCCGAGGCAGATCCGACAGAACGAACACGGACAGATGGCCTACCTGATGTTCGCCATTCAATGCTGAAGAAAACCTTGACCTTTGAGGTTTTAGCAGGCTCACTTTTGTATCTAGAGCTGACATCTTTGAAGCGTTCTATCATGTTTCTCGCACACTCTCGGCGCTTTATGTATGTTAAACGTGACACAGAGAAGGCTCAAGCCTGACGTCGCTGATTCGAGACTCCACAAGATCGAGCATTCTGTCGCTGCACGATTCGGTGGCATACCAATCTCACCAAACTTCCACGAGCTACACTGCCAACTGCCCCATACATTTGCTATACGAATCCAATTCTAAAGGAACGCCTGGAACCGTCACGCAGTGGCCCGGTTGAATATGGCTTAACAGGAAATTTGTGCCAAATATAAAGCGGCACTTTGGACGAGTATTAGCACCTCTAGTCCAACTCAACCTGGACAGGTTAGTAGAACTTCCAATCCACTGCTAACTTCCACAGGTGGTATGATTCTGGTATGCATGATTCTGTCCATCTTTGTCTTCGAACATAGTGGATTACCGGCGTGGCCTATCCGTATATGAAATATCGTCTTATACCTGATGTCAGTACCGCCGCTGATAATATCAACAATCAACACGCAAGCTATAAGTCGTCTTGCATATGAGTACTCAATAAGACTCCCTGTTTCGGATTGCGAGCTAGGTGGGATTCATCTTCATCCAGTGGTCGAATTCATCTGGAGTCAAGACCGTCATAGATGTCGAATGTATCCGGTTTTGATATCCCATCCTATTACAGATGGATAAAGAGGATCCCGAACTACCAACAGAACCTACACTCACAATGTCGAATTGGCAGGATACTTGCTTGTCGAGGGAGATTCCCTTCGATAATCTGCTATCCTTTCAACTTTCAGGATGATGCTGATGCGTGAATAATGCTGCGTATAACAGTGTTCCGACTTGGGCGGGAAAGACCAGATCAACCCAATCTCTTTCCTGTAGCCTGGGTATTTCACATCCGATCTTAGAAAAAGAAAAGAGGGTAGATAGATACAAGGCCCGGGAAGGAAAAAGGAAAGCCAAAAAAGATAGGGCCCGAACCGCGATTCGAACGCGGGACCTCCTGCATATTCATTTCCCGAAGCAGGAATCATACCTGATTATGAACTGTTAGAACAGAACGGGAAGATTTCGGATGATTGTAGAACATACCACTAGACCATCCGGGCAATGCTGGATGACAATGCATTAACTGTTCCAGTCTATAAAGGGCATAATATAGTGGCTCTCTCTACGCTTGAGTAACCAACACACAGCACCCTGGGAGATATTATCCATCCAGTATCTAGAGCTGTATACAATCTAGTGGTACATAAGACACATACCATGCCTGAAATGAAGATTAATGTGACTTAACCTCTTGGGATTGTAGAAGATGTTCGATGCCTAGGACGATGCTCACGGAACTTGTGTAGGCACTGGTAATCTAGTTTGCGAAGCGAGTTAGCGTGAAATAACACTAGGTAAATCTCTTTGCAGGGTTTCAGCTTCTATTAGGTACATAAATTGGGACTTCTGGTTAACCAGTTTGATTATTTGCAACATGATCTGCTCTAGATATTCTTAGTGCTCACTGCTCTCCCCGTTAAGGGGAGAAGGGTCTACGGAGCAAGAGAGCTGAGGCTAGCCTAGTCTACTAGGTGTAGGCTCATATTATAGGTCTGAAGCAAGGCTTTATGTCAGTTCATGCTACAGGTTTACATCGAGTATTACGTTTCAAGGTTCCTCATATGATCTTGAAGAGTACTTGACAGAGATCTTCAAGGACACTTGGCAGATTCTTTAGGGGTCAGTTAATATGAATGTTCACACACTTGATGAGGTTCTTTCGGAAACACGACATAAAGCAGCCTGGATAGTGTCCTATAGGTTCCCTCTGGTCCTTCAGATAACCCGTGAGAAGGCCTTTCACAGAATGTTAGAACGTGATTACTAAAACACTTCTCAATGCCTTGAGCTGTGTGCGGCCATAGGTCGTCTGCAGGCCAGGCCTGATCTACTATTTACTCCCTACACGGGATTGAGCTAGAGGCAGCTTAAGTGTTTGGCTAAACTTCCAGTCCACCGGCTTATCTCCTTTCCCGACTTACAGAGGATTTTGTAGGCTGCAGACTTTGGCAAGGCATCCATCCATATTTGTCGTTACTGGGGACTATCTTGAGGAAACATAGGATTTTGCAATACCCGTTCCTTTGGCCTCGATTGTTATGATAATTTAGTATATAACAGATAGGTTCGGCCACACGGTACCATCTTTTCCACCTCGTGGTGCCAAAAAAAGAGAAAATGAAAAAGAAAAAGAGTGGAAAGGCCCAAAGAGGCGCGGCCTCTCCGACCCAAACGGAAAATCAGCCTCTAGTTTATCCCAGCTCTTGTTAAATAATGCTTGGAACTGTGACGTGGGAGGTTGAAGGTTAGGTTGCTAGATCATTAGCCTGCAGCCTCCAGGGACCTGAGAGAGATAAGGAAAGTCTCGTTGCTCGCAAGTTGTCACTACTCATGAAAATGATAAAGGGGGAAGGGAGGTCGGAAACACGGTGTATGAGGTGAGATAAAGCTTGGTAGAAGCAATGCAGATACGGAGAATAGAGTAATGGTAGGGGATACGAAGAAGTGCGATTACTGTCCCCTGAGGGTATAACATCTCGGGTGTCGATAAACCGGGTATATCTGGTGTTCATTGTGCAGATGCATGATATTGAGTTGGGCTTGTGATAGTCCTTGGACATTGACGTGGGATCAACCACGTATGGAGCATGTAGTATTGCAGTATGATGTTCAGCGAAGGCAATAAAACGAAAAAAAAGATACATGGGCCCGAACCGCGGTTCGAACGCGGGGCCTCTCGCATTAGAGTTGCGATCCCAAAGCGAGAATCATACCACTAGACCATCCGGGCTTCGTATTGAAATTGATAGCATTGTTTTAGTTGCTATGGGGGTTGGCACTCTCTACTGATAGAAGAGGTTTCGGCTGACAATATCATTAGCTCTGCGGAGATATGGTGTCCCATAATAGGTAGTGGTGTATTGAATACACTAGATTGCACTCGTCGCAGTTGATAGAGGGAATAGTAAATGGTGGGGAGTCAGGAAAATGGTCCATGAAGCAAGAGAAGAGGGCGGGAAGTCAGCAAGTACACGAAGAGATTGTACCTTCCCAGAAGAACGTTAGGACGGCGTTACAACGGCACCATTGGCGCCCAAGGGAGAGAAAGTCGTTTATATATGAGCTTGAGAAAAGAGAAGTTGCGGCTGGGATTTCGAGTCGAAGCCTCTTTACACTCATCAAGGGTACGAGTGGATCGCCCAGCATTGCGGTAATCCAACAACAGCAATGACACGAAGAAAAAGAAATAAAAAAGAACAAAAAAAAGATAGGTGGGCCCGAACCGCGATTCGAACGCGGGACCTCCTGCAGTTTCATATCCCGAAGCAGGAATCATACCTGATTTCCGCTGTTAGAACGGCAACCGTGAAGAATTACTTATAAGGAATAACTCACCACTAGACCATCCGGGCAACTGTTGTATAAGCTCCAGTGAAGTGTGCACCTTACACTAAATCAAACTGGCCTAGGGATAAGTAAAAAGATAAGTGAGGGCCCGAACCGCGATTCGAACGCGGGACCTCCTGCATGCTCGTATCCCGAAGCAGGAATCATACCTGATGTGAACTGTTAGAGCAATCCACGGGACTAAGCATTGGAGAAACAACTTACCACTAGACCATCCGGGCAATTGTTATGTAATCTGGCTTTCAAGTAGCCCAAGGTCTCAAAGACAATCCCTCTTGGTGCCGATATGCACGAGGGATATATAAAGCCCTGAAGAAGCAATACATGTGTACTGTGATCCACTTTAAAGAACACTTGCGGGGACAGTACAAGTCTTCAGCAGAAGCTTGACCGAAACATTTGCTGAGGGCATACGAGGTTAAGAATGGCTTCAACAATGCTGCTACATGGACAGATTGGGGCACCGAGGCCAGCATGGTGGCGCTTGCAAGGCCTTAACCGAGTGGCGTTTGGCCGGTACGCAGCCCGGTCGGTGGCCACCACTTCTGCCGTGTTGAGTATTGTGGAATGTGAGGCCGAGGCATCCTGCCACGTGAGCCTTCATAGCGGAGGGCCATTGCAATGGACGGTCACGGCGATATAAATATATAACAGGTGCGTGTGGAACATAGATGCCTACGATGGTACATGGGGGTAGTCGGATGGCTTCGGTTATATGGCAATCGGAACACGATGGTTCTTTGGTATATAAGAGTAAAAGCTCTTTGAGAAGTGACTACTATATATATATCAAGAGCTGACCAATAAAGATACGACATCCTGAGAATTGATCGGCATGACATCTCACTGCTTCGATGTTCGATATGCACCCGAAGTAGGCAGTTAAAGATGCATGAATGGGTCCCTCTACTGACGGAGCAACATGGGAGTTGGCGTTGAACAGCCCTGCATGATGATCCAGGCCAGCCGCTGCCGGTTTCTAGCATGTTCTCTGTACAGGTTTGGGAAACTTGGTGATCTTCTTACTATGTAGATAGGCTATACCTGCTATTGAGGGTCATCAGGGGCGTTGTAGTAAGGCTCATATCTTATTAGGTCGTATTGCGCCGCTGTATTCCATCCTGAGAGTAGATATACCGCCTCTACCAGGCGTTGTTATCGCGTCTACTCCCATGTGTGCATATGTCGGGCCAAGTTCAGCCGTCTTAATATGGCCTGATCATAAAAGGGGTTGCATGGCAGGGATAATTGATATAAACTTTCTATATATCCATTAGAGATTTTATTTATGTCCATATTAACCAATGCCGTGACCGCTACTCCGTAGTCACGGGCTACAAGAGAAAAAGGCCCGGAAGGATCTCAATTTCTAGACTAAGTCTCAGCTAGGGATGTGTAAATTTGGGATTCATATATAAACCACTCTGCTAGCTCCATAATTTTTACCCGTTATTACCTGGCTTGACTGTACGTGAAGCTCCGGTACAACAGTATGTCAGACCTCATAGGGAGACTATGTGGTTACAGATCGATGCATATGCCATCCCGTTGACTTCGTAATCAGATTCCAACGAACAGAGCCTCGACCGGTCATTTGAAGTCACGATCAGGTAAATGCCGCGTGATGATCACCCCACCACTTGTCCAAGCTCTAGGTTGTGTGACTTCAGATCGTCGATATTCACATGCTAAATCGGGGGAAGTGGCCCGGGTGCCTGTTGCCTTGCGATCCATAAGTATTCGTGTACCTTGGTATGTGCCTGGTATTCCCATCGAAATACACGGTCATAACATGGAAGGTTGTGTATCCTGCGGATGCAAGTCCTTGTTAACGGTCTGGGCTCGAATGGTGATCTACCCCCGACTACCTGTATATTGACTAGTCCCCCTAGTAGCTCTGAGTTTACTGCGCTCGGGATCCTGAAACCGTCCAACATATCATCCTCCTAATCCGATGGATTAGCTAGCTGGGCCATGCGATATTTCAAGACATGCTGCAATCTATTTCTGCGAGGAAGGACGCCCGTTGCAGTTAGTTAGCTGACTACCAGCAGGCGTCGAGCAATCACGGCCCAGCGGATGGCAGGAAAAGGCCCATCCAGTCTTCCGATCCTGGCAGATCCACGGAACATGACCGACAAACCGGTTCCCTTGGATCGCCTGAGTCCCGAGCGGTACACAGACCTTTGGCAACGTCACCAATGATCTGCGCGTAATATGAGCTGACTGGTGACTGGACGTGCAGGGCCATCTCTGTCTTCGAATTTTCGTTTGACTCTGGCAGTAGCGCACGGGGGGCGGGACCACCCGTCCCACACATGGAGACGAGATTTTCAAGGGGCTGTCTACATGAAGGTAAACTCGGGAGCCTGCGGGAGTAGGGCGTTCAGTGAGGATAGAGTAGGAGGCCGAGCAGACTGAGACATCGTTTGCTCAATAGAACTGCAGCCGACCTACTCTTAGAGAGGTAAACTCGATTCGAGATCCCTATGGTCCCTCCATGGCAGAGGAATGCCCTGCAAAATCATCTCCAGGCTACATCAGTATGTTCTGAGAAGTCGAATCAGACAGCATGAGGGGGTAGCTGAATCTAGTCAAGCCGCAGGCGAGAAGATTCCATCCTTAGCATCCTAGTGCTTGGCAGCCGAGATAGTCGGCATTAGTGGCTTTTGGGCGAATCCTTCGAGCCCTGGTCACTCTAGCGATTCCCTCGCTACTAAATTATCAGATGCCAATTCCACTGGTCAGGGGGAAGGCGGAGAATTCTGGCTACAGGATTCGCCCAGTAACAGCCCCCCTCCGCATGCTGCATCGTGGCTCTTCCACTCTGCGGGTGGATCGGGTGGGGATCTGGAAGACGAAGGAAGGCCAGTGGATGGCAGGATTACCACGGAAGGTTGTGAGGTACCATACAGTCGCTGTTCGCAATTGGACAGGCGTTGATGCGGGATTTTCTTGTGCAGAAAAAGGTTATCCTACCGCGAGGGCAGTTAGTCGATTAGACTAGGTACCGAAGGGATCAGATCATCAGACACCGCAGCAGTGAGACTTGGAGAGCAACATGATCCACCACTAGGGTCGATCGTGCTCGCCAGTAGACTAATGAAACGGATGGAGGGGGGCATTCTTGGCCGTGATACTGACCGTTGGTTTGACAAGGACGTTGTTTGTCTCAAGGTCCTGTGTTCGGGACCGTAGGAGTACACCGGCCCGAAGACGCATCTACTGGGTGATCTGCACCATGAGAGGGAGCTGGAGGAAGAAGGGAAGGAAGGGAGGGAGGGAGGTAGGGAGAGTTCGACTCTCAGTCTTTGGCGCTCCCCCAAATTCCCAAATGCCCGACCGTCTGGAGCCCCACTGGCTCCAGTATTTCGCCGCCTGCGCTTACGGTTCTCCCTCAATTTGCCCCCCCATACTTAATAATCCGATCATCATCTACTAGTCATTACTACCACTGCTCCATCACTGCCTCTACTACGACTATCTACTGATTTCCAGCGATCCGACATCCCCTTCAGATCTCGCTTCCCTTCGCGGCTTCCCCAATTGAGCCGTCTCAAAACACATCCCTGGCATATCACCGCGCACTCCTTTTCAATGCCACACGTTTAACGTCCGCAGTCTGGCTCTAATCTCCGGTCGGACTCCTCCGCCCCTCGTTCATCTTCATGTCTCTACCCCACACTCCCTACTCGTATTCGGCCTCATCTCCCACTCATGGAGATTCATACGTTAGTTTGTGCTCCGGGGAAGCCTCTTTCCCCCACACAACCCCAGCTTTCCGCATCCGCTGCACCTGAGAAAAGAAAGCGGGTCCGTCGTTGGCATCACCGAGGATTCACAGGCTGTTCGACATGTCGTCGACGCCACGTCCGCTGCGACGAAGCCTCGCCCTCATGCAAGAACTGTACGCGCCTAGGTCTCGAATGTGATGGGACCCAGGGTCGTATGACCTTCAAGGTGTACGGACCACCCCAAGCGGATTCTTCTTCCGCCACCGCCAAGAAAGGCGAGAAAAAGATCAAGACCGAGGACGACAAGCATGTGAAGAAGGAGCCAGTAGGGGATGAGAACGAGCCCATTGAAGCGCTAGTGGTGTCTCCCACGACAGTATCCGACGTGAAGCCCATCAAATACCGCTTCCAGGACCCCATTTCCCCTGCTGAATTTCTGTCGTCGTCCCTAGACTGTGTGGAAGGCCGGTATTACACTCACTTTGTCGACCAAGTCTCCACCTTACTACTCATCTACGACAATTCGAACAACATCAACCCTTACCGAAGATTCTTCCCCGAGCTTGCTCGATCGTCACCATCAATGGCTAGCGCCATGCAGGCTATGGGTGCATTGCACCTTGCCAACACATCCAAAGGACAGCAGCGAAACAAGCATTTTCAGCAGGCTATGAGCAATTATGGCGAGGTTGTTAAGTCCTTCAGGACTCGGTATACAGACCCTGACCAGAGCGTGCGGTTAACTGATTTTGCCACCTGTCTGTTGCTGTCCCTGTTTGAGGTGAGTATCTTTTATTCGGCAGAAGAAACGGACAATGCTAACAGATCAGATGATGGATTCTCAACATCACAATTGGGCTATTCATCTTAAAGGAGCTCGCGAAATCTATCGAATCTTATTCTCCCCAAATAGCGATCCCGCCAAAGAAGCTAAGCGCCTCGCTGAAATTAATCACCCGCTTCGACCCTTCCTCGTTTCCCTTCTTTCCTACCTAGATGTTGCGGGTGCCTGTGCCACCAGCGAAGGAACGGTGGTAGAAGGCAGTTACTGGAGAACACATGGGGGTGGCTGGGAATACAACCTGGGCACACCGAGCCTCTCGACCGAGCAACCTGCCTACAGTCACTTCTTGGTGGAACTACGCCAATGCTGGTCTGTCATGATGGAGATCCAAGCGTCTATCAGTGCGTTCGGAAAGGCAAAACACGACGGCCTCATGTCGCCCGAACAACAAGATCTTGTCTATCATGAGTTGTTGCAGCGGTTGGTTCAGTGGCGCCTGAATGCACCACAAACACTTCAGACACTAGGTGACCTGGATGACGAGAGCTTGCGACAGTACCCATACCCGGATGTTCTTGAGTATGCTGGATGTATCGAGGCATACGAGAAGGCGACCAACATTTTCCTGCACCGCGTCGGGGCGGCAGCCCGGCCTGACATACAACCACAAAGAGCATTGTTGGATATGCTTTCTTCGCGGATCCTAGCGTTGATTGGAAAGCTCGCAAAAGACGTGGGTCAATTGGCGGTGCTGTGGCCCCTGTTTACGGCAGGCCGAGAGACGCGAGTTGAGAGTGAGCAGAAATACGTGCGTCAGACCATGACGGATCTTCAGCGGTTCGGGTTTAAGGTATGAGAAAATTGGGGAATCTCGTTAGTACACATACTAACTGGAACGCAGAATGTCGACAAGGCTCTTGAGGAATTGGAACGAGCATGGTTCAAGCAGCGTACTTTCCCAGAAGGTTGGATTGATACCATGGACGATATTCGTTCCTCAATTTTACTCCCTTGAAAAATGTATGGGGAGCTACCATGGTGCATCCTTACATGGCCAATCTTCGACCCCTTCCAGTGTTCGAATCCATCCGGGCCATTGTTGCACGCTCTATGACGAATTTACTGGGAATACGCTATATGGATTGGCGAAGAGAAGGAGTCCGAGGTTTGGTGTAATACAGGCGTTATAATGGGAAAACAAGGCGTGCGGCTGGACTGGACCCTTAGATTCTGGAGTTTCGGAATGTGAGGTAATATTGCGAACGACGACACATGTGCTGATATGAATGGAGGGTTTGGATATATTTGTATCTTTTCGGGGAGTTGGAACATCAATGTACAGATACAGAAAGGACATATGGATTCGACTCAGGTCATATATAGAGAGAGATACGGAGTAGACTATCTGTTGATACTTGAAACCCCATCGGGTATATTATTTGACATAGAAAACGTTGTGGTCGTGACTCTTTCCCGAGTACATCTGTAGACCGATCTACGACAGCTAGACAGATACATTCTAGACTTCCAATCTCCAGTCAGCAAGAAGCAACCCATGTAAAAAGTTAGCAAACTTCATTCAAAAACAATGGTATATCCACCCCATCCCACCCCATTACAACCTTCTCTAGAAAGGTCCATCCGATCTATCTACAATCAAACCAACTTTTTCAAGCAAAAATAAAAAAAAAGCAACATTTTCCACAACTTCTTCATCGATCGGTCCCACATGATCATCAAACAGGAAAAAAAAAAAGCATCAGCGATATTACTGCGACGCACTGGCTTCAGTTTCTTCTCTCCCGGACGAGGAAGTCCCTGCCTGATGGGGACTTTCGACTTCCTCGACGGTTTCGCGCACCGCACCTTTGCTGTCGATGAAATGCGAGATGCGGTCGATAGGGAGCCAGGCGCTTTCGGGCATGACGAAGTAGGATATCAGGGCGAAAATGGTCACGGCGGCCATGATGATTGGGGCGTCTGGGATAGGTGGAGATGGTTAGGATGTTGGGATGACAGTGAGGAAGAAGGGAATGAGAGTGGCTTACAGTTCAGGTTGGCGCCGGTGACAGGGAATTCATAGGGGGAGAATAACACGGCGACCACCCAGCCGTTCCAGAAGACACCGATGAATTGGAAAGGCTTGCTTAACCGACCTAGACTCCATTGGGGCTTCGGGAATCGGTTCGGGGTGCAGAAAAGTCGGCCGAGGCAGATAAGACCGTATGCGGCGGCGCTAGGAACACCGGCGGCGGAGACGAGCGAGGTGAAGGCTACGTCGGAGGGGAGGAGAGTGCAGCTGATGAGCGCTGCCACGCCCCAGACGACGATGACAGCGTTGCGGGGCTGGCCGTTGTGGACTTTGGAGACCCAGCCGGAAAATGGGAGGACTCCGTCGCGAGCGACGGCGAAGACTAGACGGGAGGCGGCGACAATAGCAATTGCTGTGTTCTGTGGTCGAATGCGGAGGTTAGTATGGATAATGATGCGGGCTGTTGGAGCGTCGACGGTGGACTTACAAGCCATAGGGCAACGATGCAGATGACGTTCATGAAGACATGGCCGCCCTTGCCGAGAACGACAGCGTAAAGAGGCACGAATGGCTGGGGAGAACCGAAGGACATCAGGGTGTCGTTATCGGGCTGGTCATGTAAGCTTTTGTTGACCTGGTCGTTATGTGGAGGAAGTACTCACTGCGCAGAAGAGGAACAGAATGATAGTTGCCAGTCCACCAATGCCACTAACGACAGTACTCCAGAAAATACCGCGTGCTGCTGTCACAGACGCATTCTTGGTCTCTTCAGCAACATGGCCCGAGGCGTCAAAACCGATCAGAATACCAGCAGTGGCAAGGTATGAAAGACACCAGTTCCATCCCGGAGGGGCACCTGTAGCGTTGTAGGTGGACATAAAAGCTTCTTCGGCCGTGCGGAATCCCCATGTGTTGGCGGCCCCAATTGGGAGCCAGATGACATTGAGGAAAAAATCCAGCATGACAATGAAGGACGAAAAGTAGAATACCCACTTGAATAACCTGGCTAAAGCATCATGAGCAAAGTCGAACAAAAATTGGATAGGCACGGCCATTTTGGAGGCTGGACATACGCGGCAAATAGTTCAGGAGTGCAGCCAATGCTAACAATACCTCTGTGCAAATCCATTGGACGGCACGGAACTTGACGCTGGATGTATCTTTGGGGAAATCACAGTCGAATACTGTCAATTCCTGCCATGCTATCAGCATTCCCTGGTTCGATGCTACTCTGGTTCCACAAGATGTTACTCACAGCTAGCATGTAGTTGACAGCAGACTGGGTGTTGCTAGCACAGAAGGTCGTCCAGGCAGTAGTACTCCACCAAGCAACCACGAAGCCAAGTAGTCTTCCAAAGCGAGGGCCACCAGCTTCTGCGGCCCACAAGTAGATGGAGCCCGCAGACGGGGAGGCAGAGCATACCTCCGCGATGACAGCAGCGGTGATGTAGGTGAAGACCAGAGTGACCAGATAACTCGTCCTAGCGAAAGTGAGACATGGTGATCCTATGGATGATTGCATAACCTACCAATAAGCCAAGTTACCACCTGCTGCGATACCAGTACTATATGTGACGCGCACACCTCCGACGAAGTAGAGAGCAGCTATAGTGTGAGGTTAGAGACGTCCATGGGCTCTGATTTGCTCTGGTTGTTTCACCTACCGAATGTCGTCGAGAAATTTTCAAGGAGAGTGTACGTCCTATGAAGGACCTGGATGCATGTATTAGCCAGCTTGCATCTAATATGGATGCGATGATTGACTCACTGGCTTGTAGCCCATTGATTTCTGATGGCAGCATGTTAGCGATGGCTTCTGAAGCGTATCTACTACAAGGATCCGGTGGTTCGGAAAGGTGCCTACATACCAATAGCTTTGCATCTTCTCGAGACTCTGTCTGACTCCTGACCTCTTCTGCCTCGGCCGGAAGAGCGTCCGGGTCGACAATAAGCTGCGACTGCTGCTGGTGAGGTGCCGGGGCCATGGCTGCCGTATTGGAAACCAGGGCCAATTAATTATTAGAGAGTCAATGACCGGGGCCAAGTGACAGTACAATAAAGATAAGATAGATGTCAGAAGGGCAAACAGAGGATGACTCTTTCCAGGCGGTTGAAATTTGATGATAGATGATCAGGAACACGCTAACCCCACCCTGTAAGGCGCAATGGGCCAAGAAAAAAAAAAGTAAAAGGGAAAAAGCTCGGCGGATAAACTCAAGAGTTCGAGGTCCCAGTTTTACGAGTGCAGATGTGATCAAACCTCCCCGAAACAGTAATGCTTTGCACTGACCCAGTTGCTTTGATGTTGAATTATCGTAGAGGCGGGATAGCTGGGGTCTGACCGGAGATGTCTGCTCCGCAAGAGCCAACGGTGAGGGAAAGAAGAATTGTTGAAGCTCACTCTGCTCTCCACTAGCGAGCCAGGCCAGAGCGCAAATTCCAATCAGAGACTGTGGGTGGGAGGATGCGACCGCCGTGGGTCAAGAGAGTGTGTAGTGTGTACCTAGTGAGCCAAGCAAGGAATTAGCTCAGAAGCATCATCGTAGCGGAGCCGTTCCACTCGGACGTTTACGCGCTCCATAGACGATGGTTTGGGAAAACGTGGTTGATGCATGCATGCACCATCCATCGATCGAGGCGGATGAATCGGGGGCAACATCTGACAAGTTGGCATGAGCGCCACGATCAATATTGCAGGAAAATGTTCTCAAGCTCTAACAGGTTGAGGAGATGTCAACCGCATCATTATGATTTCTCTCATGCCCCCACCTTAGTGGAGCGGGCGACAAAGCCGTGCGAGGAACCAGCCGTCGCCCGCGCTTGGATCATGATATAGGCAGTAGAGTACATATCTCATATCTCATAGTAGATAGAATAGCTTAGTCGTAAATCAAAGCATTCGGACAGGATTGGCCCGCCCAAGAATTCTTGCGGCGGGAAGCTTCGGACCGCAGTCATGGGAAAACCTGGCGCTGGCCGGCAGAGACGGCTCCAAGTCCGGCCTCAGGCAGGACCGTCTGGATCTGGGCACGTGATGGACTAAAGCTAGCCTTCCCATCCTCGCCATCGTCCTGGTTTATTTGCCCTTGCCCAGTAACATAATTGGTGAGAATGAACCGAGTATCGTCAGCTACGAGCCAGGCGTTGTTTTGTCCGTGCAACCAATGATGGGAATATGTTACCCTGCATAGCATGGCCACCTCGTCAGCCCGAGCTCGCTGGAAACGCGATCTCACGTGGACAATCAATCATCCGATTTGCGGAGAGATGGTTCTTGTGTTTATGAGTAACTTGAATTAAGGGAGTCTGTGACTGAGAGACCGAAACACGGTCTATCACAGCGTCTAGGCATTAGGGGTCAACAAAGCGCTAGAAAGCGAAGACCTGGTTCAACTATAGACAAAGAGACTTCTCTGGGTTCTCTTTCAATCTCCAAAATTGTGACTCCTATCCACAGGCAAACCGTGGTTCGAGCTCTATCTGTGCAAACGAGGATCTTGCCGATTATCCGATGTTTATGCACCCTGTGCGGTCAATCGCGACCACAGGAAGCCACAAGGGGTTCAAGATTCGATCACCCTACCATTGGCGGTTATCTAGTGTCTCTGGAGTACCCCGTACAGGATCATGGATGGCCCCTGTTTCTCTTGACCTTGAGGAATCCTGGAGATGACTTGTGCTGTCTAGATAGTGGTACGGATAACGGAAGAGTGCTTTAGTGATTTCCGACGTAGTACCCGAGCTGCGTTACATCCGATCGCGGGTTGACCTTAATCGTAGAGTAAAAGGACCCTCCAACCCGGATGAAATGTTCAATCTGCATGGGTTGTTATGTAGCACGGACATCCAGGGCCAGGATGCTGACCAGAAAGCTATGGGGGTGGAGGTGAATCACTGGCCAGTAAATGACTGCGATGCCAAGCGGGACTGACAGCTCATTCTCCGCGCTGCCGATGGCCAGCTCATGGGTCTTCCCCGCGCGCTTTCCCCTCACTTTCCAGTCAATCTTTGGTCACATACCCACGGCGCTATCTTGTCGATCGATCCGATGGAGGTGCATTCCGGTGACCGGAGCCGTGCTCTCTTCATGGCTGATGCTGGTGTCTAGCTTTAGACTCGTGGAAGAATGGCATGTGTTTTCCCGCCATCCCTTGCGCGATGATGGCCTCCCCGCAATACCTGGTTTTCTTCTAAAAATGTCTGGGGCATTCCCATATAGTGGGACGCGTCTGCTCGCTTACAGCCCAACTCCAACTGATTCACTGACACCTCTGAAAACAATTTCACAGATCGACCCCGACAACCCCCGTCCTGCTGTCTCTTCTCAGCCCGTACTGCCTATCGCATCGCCCATGTGGCCTGGATGCCCCTTCCTGCGACCTTTGCACCATTGGAAGTGAGTGGCATGAGGCCTCCTGTGGCCACGGGTTCTGCCATCAGAGTCGCTCTGCGTGCTAGTTTCCAAGTTCCGCGATGAGTGTCCCGATGTCTCTGCGCTCGGCCTTGGTGCCATGCCGAGAAGTCCCCAGCGCCTATCCAAGGAACTCACGTGCTATGGTCAAGACCGCTTGTGAGTGTCTGTTGAATACTTCGATTTTCATCTGTTGCAGTTGCTGACTCTACCCTATTATAGTGGTGCAATCACGATGCGTTCCCTTCTTAGCCATCCGACGAAGCCACCTTGGTCAGCTGTCATCTTCAAAGGCGTCCCAGACCCCCAGAAGATATGCGACTGCTGTATCTGCGCCACCTGTTCCAGTCGTACCTTTTTCCTCCTTGACCGTGGGCGTGCCTCGTGAGACCTATCCGAACGAGCGTCGTGTTGCCTTGACGCCGCAGAATGTTGCCCTGTTGCTCAAGAAGGGATTTTCGCGGGTCCTGGTTGAACGTGGCGCTGGAGAGGAGGCCCAGATACATGATCGAGTGTACGAGCAAGCAGGGGCAATACTGGTCGACCGGAACTCCATCTGGTCCCAGAGCAACATCATCTTGAAAGTCCGCAGTCCCCAGCAGCAAGGACCCATCGATGAGATTGGAGCACTTCGTCAGGGAAGCACGATTATTTCATTCCTCTATCCGGCACAGAACAGACCACTGGTCGAGCAACTTTCCTCGCGTGGTGTCACAGCTTTTGCCATGGATATGATACCGAGAATATCTCGTGCGCAGACATACGATGCTTTGAGGTGTGTACTATTAGTGTTGGAGGAATCTTGTGCTGATGCATCTGTGATAGTTCTATGGCCAACATTGCTGGGTATAAGGCTGTACTGGAAGCGTCCAATCATTTTGGCCGATTTTTGACAGGTCAAGTTACTGCCGCTGGGTAAGTAAACACTCGTGTATGCTGACATATCGACTAACCATATGCCAATCAGAAAGGTTGTGTTCCCTTCGACAAGATAGATCCCATTACTAAAAAGACCTAGATACCACCTAGCAAAGTTCTTGTCATTGGAGCTGGCGTAGCTGGTCTAAGTGCAATTGCATCGGTAGGCTCTTAGGTACCGTCTCAACACAAAAGTCGTGCTAACGTACAGCATCTAGGCCCGTCGCCTGGGAGCTATTGTTCGAGGATTCGATACCCGCTCTGCTGCCCGCGAACAAGTTCAATCTCTGGGTGCAGAGTTCATCGAGGTGGATATCCAAGAAGAAGGCTCGGGACAGGGTGGATATGCTAAAGAAATGTCGAAAGAGTTCATTGAAGCGGAGATGAAGCTCTTTATGGAACAGTGTCGAGAAGTGGATATCATCATCACCACGGCTCTCATCCCAGGAAGACCGGCGCCTAAGCTCATTACAAAAGAGGTAAGATTTGGCGCACCAATCCACGAATCCCTACTTATGGTCATAGATGGTCACTGCTATGAAGCCCGGATCCGTCATCGTCGACCTTGCGGCAGAAGCGGGCGGCAACTGCGAAGCTACCGTTCCTGGACAATTGACAAAGTTCGAAGACGTTACTGTGATTGGTATGCCTGGGAAGTGTCTCTGAAGATACATGATTGACAGGTTGTAGGATATACCGATCTTCCGTCGCGGCTGCCAACTCAATCCTCCACGCTGTATTCCAACAACATCACCAAGTACCTATTGTCCATGACTCCCCAAGACAAGTCCTTTGGCATAGATTTGTCTGATGAAGTTGTTCGCGGTTCTATCGTTACCCTCAACGGAGAAATAGTCCCGCCTGCACCGCGGCCCGCACCACCACCTGCGCCTAAGCAGGAGGCCACTGCGCCTGCAAAGGAGCAAGCGGGGCTGGCATTGTCACCTTGGCAGAAAGCCACGCGCGATGTTGCGACCACAACTGCTGCCATGGGATCTGTTGTTGCTCTGGGCAAGGCTACAGGACCGGTTTTCATGGGTAACATGCTGACATTTGGGCTGGCCGGCCTAGTCGGCTACCGTGCAGTATGGGGCGTTGCGCCAGCGCTTCACTCTCCCTTGATGAGCGTGACCAATGCTATTTCGGGTGAGTTGGGCGGTTATTTTGCGCTGTTCATAACTAAACGTTCTAGGTATGGTCGGAGTCGGCGGCTTTTTCATCATGGGTGGAGGATACGTGCCTACTACGATTCCCGAAGCGCTGGGGGCTGCCTCGGTGCTGCTGGCATTTATGAACGTTTCCGGGGGCTTTGTGATTACCAAACGCATGCTGGATATGTTCAAGCGTAAGTTTCCCTACATTTTGCGTAGTACTTGCTCACCATATCAGGTCCAACCGACCCGCCTGAATATCCATGGCTTTATGCTATACCGGCCGTCTTGTTTGGCGGAGGCTTTCTCGCCGCTGCCAGCACTGGGATGGCAGGACTAGTACAAGCTGGATATCTTGTCAGTAGTGTGCTTTGCATTGGTAAGTGGTTTCCGGATTCAAATTGCTATTGCTGACTTGCCAGCTTCGATCTCTGGCCTCGCTTCTCAGCACACTGCTAGACGCGGCAATATTCTTGGTATCCTTGGAGTAGGCGCCGGTATCATTGCTTCTCTGGCTGCCGTAGGATTCTCTCCTGAAGTCCTGACTCAATTTGGTGCAGTGGCTGGTGTTGGTTCCCTTGTTGGTATGTGTTCGAGTCTTCCGGATGAGCCCGCACTAATGGGTCACAGGAGCACTAATCGGACGACGGATTACCCCAACTGGACTTCCTCAGACTGTTGCTGCTCTTCATTCCGTGGTTGGGCTGGCGGCCGTGCTTACCAGTATAGGAAGCGTGTTGGTCGATGTTTCTGACATATCGACCTTGCACATGGTGACGGCATATCTGGGTGTTCTAATTGGTAAGATCTGTCCTTCAAGAGATGGACCTTTCTAACAAGAGCAGGCGGTGTTACATTCACCGGGTCTATCGTAGCTTTCCTGAAGCTCGCCGGTCGTGTATCTTCGAGACCTATGATACTTCCTGGTCGACACTTGATCAATTCAACTCTTCTCGGGAGTAATGTCGCTGCAATGGGAGCTTTTCTTACCATGGCACCTGGATCTCCAGCAATCGCAGCGACATGCTTAGGTGCAAACACCTTGCTCAGCTTCCTCAAGGGATATACTACGACTGCCGCTATTGGCGGAGCCGACATGCGTAAGTGGCTGACTGATGAGATGTGCTTTGCTAATCGGTGCAGCTGTGGTGATCACCGTCCTCAATGCATACTCCGGATTTGCTCTGGTTGCAGAAGGCTTTATGCTCAACAACCCTCTTCTCACCAGCGTCGGGTCTCTTATTGGAGTGAGCGGTTCGATCCTGTCGTACATTATGGTAAGTGTCTTCAACATCACCTGGAACATACTGACCGTGTCAGTGTGTTGCTATGAATCGATCCCTGACCAACGTCCTGTTCGGTGGTATTGCGGCTCCTCAACAGGCAAAGAAGATCGAAGGCCAGGTGACCCAGACGACTGTTGACGACACAGTGGAAGCATTATCGAATGCGGAAAGCGTCATTATTGTACGTCTGAGCTTTCAATCAGGAACACCGCTAATACTTGCAGGTGGTTGGCTATGGCATGGCTGTAGCAAAGGCGCAGTATGCTCTGGCCGAGATTGTGCGTATGCTCCGCGCCAAAGGCATCACGGTGCGGTTTGCAATCCATCCCGTTGCGGGTAGAATGCCCGGTCAATGCAATGTCCTTTTGGCAGAGGCATCTGTGCCTTATGATAGTAAGTACGATGCTGGGTGATGAATGCAGCTAACCAGAGCAGTTGTGCTGGAAATGGATGAGATCAACGATGATTTCCCTGATACCGACGTCACTCTTGTTATTGGGGCAAACGACACCGTCAACCCAAGCGCCTTGGAGCCTGATTCTCCGATCTCGGGCATGCCGGTGCTACACGCCTGGAAGAGCAAGGAAGTGGTTGTGATGAAGCGCAGCATGTCCAGCGGATATGGTGAGTTTTCTGACGCAGATCGACGGATGGTGCTGATTAAATAGCCGACGTACCGAACCCGATGTTCTTTATGCCTGGAACGAGGATGTTGTTTGGTGATGCAAAGACATCATGTGATGGTGAGTAATCATACCCTAAGATAAAGACTAGTCTAACTTGTCTTAGCCATCAAAACTGCTTTGGAAGCACGTAAATAGCTGTGTATACCTGCCTGGAACTATATCTATCAATTGGAGGAACTGGTTGGATATTTAGGATGTCTCTAGTTACATTGCAGTTGATAATATCATGGATGCACATGTTCCGATATTCCTCTCGATTCAATATGAAAACTGGCCTAGGTAGTATTTCTTGCCATGTCCCATGTTCCAGCTTCCTTCTATTGGAAAACCTTCTCTGTCTGTAGCGCCCAGATCCGTAAAAAAATCATCGCGATGAATCATGAGCTGGCATAGTTCTGTGCTATGAAACATGCGGGCAAGACCTATGGTAGAATCTTTCATGCTTTAATACATGCAACACATAGCCCGTCACTCAGCTTATAACAGATAAACTCATACCATGTCTGGATTCTCTTAGGCGCAAAGGCCCAGAATGTCTTGACCTCGGCCAATCGCATTGATGGCATGAGCCTTGGTATCTACGACGGCAATATCCGGCACGAGGTTGCCTCTTATCGTGCATGGCGCATATTTTGTCTGTCTTGTGGTGTGGTAGATAGTTTTGAATATGGTTGGTTATTTTTGATATTGTATTGTGAAGGAATGATAGAATACCGCTTTTTATTATGGGTGAATTGGCGGAGGTCATGGAGGTGTGGTGTCCATGCTTGTAGTCAATGAAATATAAGATGCCGGAGAGGATATCAAAAGGATAATTGACAATATTGTAAGGTGGAGGAGAAACCATAGACCGAAGAGCTGTGCATGGAATACTCCTAAATATGATCACCAGAAGCAGGAACAGATATATCATCGTCGTCTTTATCACATATGGCCAGTGATTTCGGGTTCCCAAGCATATACTACATGTATAAGACCCTGTTGGATGTGAAGCCTTGAAGCTTGTTGATTCAGATGGCTACGGATCCTAGCTAAGGGGGCCGAGGGTCAGGTGACTCTCAGTCATCTAACAGGCCCCTTAGGAAGCATCCGCAAGCTTGTTCTCAGAATAATTCAAGTTAATAAACATACCAATTGAGATAACACTTTCAATCATCAACTCCGATTCATATCTCACCTGGAAAAAGGTTATCCTTGTCGTCTGTTCCCTGAGAACTGTGGCAAAGAGCCACTCTCGTAATGCAATGCTTTTGTAGATGACTGTGTCGCTGCGCTTGTAATTAGAATCCGCACGACAGGTTTAAGTTGATTTGGCAAGAACTCTTTTCCCTCAGGTTCTGCCCGGAATAGCAAGCCAGACCTGGCCTTGACCAAGGTGATATTATCTCCTTAGTATCGTTGTGGGTCATCGCTAGATCCCAGACTCTCCCGTGTTTGAAGCCAATGCACTTGCTAGTATCTATTAGTATCCTCTCATTCCAACTCCGATGCTCAAATGCGGTCATATTTCTCCCGCTCCCCAGGGGCATGGTTCAGTGATTTGTGACATCGGACGTATGAAGGGGGACCACTCACGGGGCGGGAGGAGCATCGCTCTCAGTCATGACCTCGTTGGCTCAACGCTCAACTTTAGGACGAGCTCGCAAAGGGCCCAAGGCGAGAGCCGACGCAGATGCGCCTTTGAAAAACGAGGCGGAATGCCATACAGTACGAGAGTAGCATGGAGGCTCGCAAAGGAGGAACGATGAGACATCGTGATGGCCGACGGCAAATCGCCCCAAGTACAGAAACCGTCCGTAATACTTGGACTCTTGTACAGCTATAAGCTGCAGGATGAGTTGACTAGCTCCAATACCTAGCCTTTTCGGGAGTCAGACCATGAGAGAAGGTATGAAGCAGTCCATTCGTTGCACATGTCCAGCCTCCCAATAGACGTACCGTTACCAATTCAAGAGATAATTGCGAAAACCAAGGTCCACTGGCCAAGTGGAGGACAAGCTGGGCAAGATTGACCTCAGATGTCTGTATCCGGCTGCGCACGAACGTAGCGTGCTGCTTGGTCTGCCACTACGCCTTGACTGGATTTGAGTCCAGATGATGGCGGGCCCAAAAAGTGAAGCGCTGGCAGGATACTCGAGCATTGGTCCCCTGTACTATCTCGTGCGTCCATGTATCTTGTCTTCACACTGTGTTTGAAGCCATTGTAATTCCAAAACCGCGATAATTTCCACCTTCCTGCTTGAATGTCCCAGCTTGTCATCAGCATTTCTAGCTCGTATTCTGAATTATCCTGTTTAGCGGCGAGCCCATCAAGTCTCTTCTTCATGTCGTTGTGGTCCATCTGCACGATAGCGTCGGGGTTGTTCCTGCACACTGTTGCCGTTTAGGTAGCAAGCTATCTAACACCGAACCTCTGCGTTTTGCAGTACCAAGTAATCGTTATCAAGATCGATGACGATGAAGAGATTCACCGGCCAATAACCCGATCCTATAGCTGACTGCCTGTTTCTCAGCCCACTAATCCCGGTCATAATCTGTTGCTGTGCTGTTGCAATTGTGACTGGTCCACCATGTAGCTGAACACGCCGAGCAGGCATAATATCCACGAGATATTCCACAGTGCCTTGAATGACATTTTTCGTTGTTTTCAAGGCAAAAGAAAGTCGCACACAGTCTTGAACATGTCTGAACCCTGCCAGGAAATCATCAATATCTCATAAATATCCTATTATTTGAGCATGATTGTTTTGGTACTTGGTAACCATCTTGTATCGGAAAGCGATGTATACTTTTCTTGACCAAGTCGCGAGATGGTGACGCCAATGGGTAGACAACCGTGGCGAATGGAGAATGGCTTGCTTCGAGATAAACCAGAGCTCGTCCCATTCCTCTTTGCAATCGCACTCGGGCTATTAATGTCCCTCGCAATGAGACTGCATTCGAGTATAAGTCTTAAAGCAACGATCCTGTCCAAGGTGTTTAACTTCCCCTTGTATCGAACGCGAGCGATATGCCATGAATGCCATCACTTGGATAGGTTGATAGAATCCACCATACTCTAGACACGAGGCATATTCTCTGTAGTTCATAGTTGACATATCAATCATTTGGGCACTGAATCCAGCTGGATGTATTCCAGAGTACCCTAATATCTGTCCCAACCTAGCCAGAACAGGATGAATTTTCTCCTCGATCAAGATCACTTTCAGGATGCTCGTCAGGAAAGACATAATCTTTGTCCTGACGCTGTCTTTCTTCCTTCTTGTAGGTCAGGTGGTGTTTTTCTTGATCATCGCTGTAGCACTCTTGTGGAAACCAATTGCTGACCGGATGGCCCTCTGGCCCGGGTATGATACATCCCATAAGAGCAGCGTTTCCAAGACTGTGAAAATGGACGAGGCGATACACATGCCCATTGTCTCTGTCAGTGCTGGTAACAGAATAACCCACCAGAGCGAGCTCGCCTTCTTGACGACCGTGACCGCTCCGCCAGGCCTCGATACCGCGATGGGACTGTTTGAGGATATTGTGAGTCTTGAGAATGACTTCTGCGAGCGAATTCAGTTTGGACTGTTCTGTTGCTAGGCTGTAGATTGGGAGGATTAGTCGACAATTTGCGGAAACGATGGACTTTAGGTATTCTTTAAGTATCTGTGAGTGACCAGCGGGCATGTCATGACTATGTTGTTCTTTTTTTCAAGCTGATCGATGGTAGTTGGGCTTGGGTATTGTGGATATGGATATAGGTCCAGAGCAAGTATGTATCTCACGATGTACGGACACAGACTAGAAGCAGAGAGAAAATTTGAAATTCAGAAGCAATCTGATAGACAATCAGATGCAACTGGAAGTAAGAAGAAAGCCCATACAGAATATCAAAGATAGACTCGTTGAAACCACATGATGCAGTCAACCACACCCAGTGTAGACCTAAATCAGCATAGAGAAAGAAGAAGCAGAACACCTTATAAACTACCCATCCTACACCATTCATCCCAATCCTTCACCATCACCACCACCACATCAAGCACATTAACCCAACCCACCCACCCCTCCCAAAGCAATTCATTCAAAAGATTCACCCACAACAAATGTCCATGAATACGAGTCAGTCACCATTTCCCGATTAAAACCACGGAAATCAACAATCCCGAACCTGACTCATGCCACCCGTTCCAACTCCATCCTTCCCAGCGAAACGAAATGAAACAAGGCGCCTCCGATCGAGAATCGGTACCGAATGTCACGACCATCACTTCCACCGAACCGAACCAGAATCACAGAACAGAACCACAGTTCGTACCACCGATTCCATCCCTCGGATCGTGGGAACCGGGCATCGGAAATCGCATGGACTAGTGCACAGATGCATCAACACAACACAACATGTATCTACCTAAGCGATCATGAACACCGTGACAGAACAAAAGTCCGTGTCTGCCGTCTCCACCTACCCATCTCCCATCTCCCATCTCCCGTCCATCTACCTAGTATCTATCTACCCGAACCCTGACCCGACCCCATCAATATGCAATTCATCTATCTACCCGCACTCAATATATCATATATTAACCCCTAGATACCACTACTATATATATAGTATATACTAAATGACCCTTAATATCCATGCATCCATCCATCCCCACGATAAAAAGGGGTTCAACTCAATCCAAGCCATAGAACATTGCCTAGATGCCATTATCCCTAATTCCGTCCCCGTCCCCGTCCCGATGAAGTCCTATTCGGTACTCAAACGGTATCTACGTATTGGGAATTAGGATGGGTAGATCCAACCGAGATGAAGTGAAGTGAATCACGGGAACCGAGTCAGATCCTACCTATCCCAACCATATCTAACCGGGTTGGGTAATTGCGGTTGAGTGCGTGGGTGGAGACAGCAAGGGAAGTGCCGTGATTGATTTGGTGATTTTCTGGGGGTTGAGTGCCGGGAGAAGGATTTTCAAAGGTTCGAAGGGTGGTGCTTGTGAATCTTGTTAAGCTTAGGTGGTGGATATATGATCACTGTTCTACATATGTAGTCATATGTTCAATCGTCATTGGGCCTGCCCTGAGGCCATAGCTATGGTACAAACATCCAACAATGTAAAGAGAAGCATCCAGTGCATACTGTAGTCGATCAAGCAGCCGCTCCATCGCTAACCAACGCCAAGCAACCATTCCCAAACAGGTGATTAAAGAGATGAATATGAAACACTAGTTCCCCCCCGGCACACAGATTCACAGATTAAGCATTACTTTTGAATGGTGGACTTCCTCCGACCTCGTAACATGAACCCCATGAAACTCTTGGGCGCGCTGGTCGGGAGCGGCTCGGGAGCCTCGAGCTTGGGGGGTTTGCTGCGTCGAAAACTCTTCTTCCGCCGCGCCGCCTTGGCATCCGGCTCTGCCCCCTCCCGTGGGTCCATGCTGTACACGCTCTCCACTTCCGACCGCAGGCTGCTGGCCGAGTACACGCTGGGTGCCGTCGCGCTCTTCATCATCATCGAGTGTCGTATCGGCGGCCGCTGGCTGAGGTTGCCCGGAACGCTCGAGATGCTGTAGTTGGATCCCGATCGGTGTCGGTTGAACGTCGGCGATGAATAATACGGCGCCGGGCTGGAGGTGCGGGAAGGTAGGCTCAGGTCGGAGCTGGCGATCGAGTAGGACAGGGAGCTCGATCGCGCGTGGAATTCGTCGCTGGGATAACCCGGTGTGCGTCTGGTGCTCGGGAACAGTGTGTAACCGCCACCGACATTTTGCATGGACGGCGGACGGCGGAGTGGGCCCGCTTGGGGGCCGCGGTTCGATGCGCTGTCGGCGGAAGTCTGTGGTCGGTTCCAAGTCATGGCCCGCGAGCGCGAGGACATCGGCGGGGATGTTTCAGGCACGTCCGCCAGCGCCCGGGGGGTGGTAAAGGGGTCCGTCTCGGCCCGTCGGGGCGTTGATTTCGCGTATTTGCTGTGCAACTGCAGACTGCCGCGCTTCATGTGCAAATGGTCGGGTCGTTTGTCGCTCAACAAGGGTTGTGACTTGGTGCCTTGGTCCAAGGAGTAGAGTCCACGGCCGGGGGGGAAGCGGTCGGGGACACCCGCCGAGACTGCCGACATGGGTTCCGGTTCCTCGACCACTGGGCTGTCCGTGACGGGGCTGATTAGAATGAGATTAGGTTTGGCGCTGGGTTCCACGAAGGTGATCTGCTCGGCGACGAGCACGTCCGTCTCGTCATCCGAGTCGGCCAGGGCGGGCGACGGAGATCGTGGCGACGCGGGTGGCTGATAGACCGTGGGCTGTAGGAAGATCGGAGATTGCAAGGGGGAGGTCGACGTAGGGGAGGGCAGTTCGATGATCACATCATCATCATCATCGTCGAAGATGTACGAATCGGGGACGAATGTTGTGCCACTGCTTCGCTTCACGGTGTCTATCGACACCGGTCGACTTGGTTTGCCGGAGGGGTAGGCAGGTAGAAGGCGGGCAAACGGTTTGTCCACCGGCGATTCTGGGGAATTCACAGTGGAAAGTTCATCGCTCGTATCGGAGTCGAAGGGACCGGCAGTCTTGACGGGCGAAAAGGCATGGTCGTGAGCACCCAATTCCGATTCTGATGTCTCCTCCTCTTCGGATTCGTATCGCCGGGGCAGCAATTGTTCATTCAGATAATCCAGATCGAGGGGGGCTGTAGTAGGATACATGTTTCCGACAAAAAGAAAAGTAAAGGAAAAAAGGGCGACGACAGTAGTCAACCCAGCACGCCCAGGGTTAGAAAGAAAGATTATATGGTCGGGAAATAGGAGGGCAACAAAGTCATGAAGGGTGGTCACGACAGCAGCAACGAGGGGAGAAAAGGAACGTGAGATGACGAGCGAGATGTAGAAAAATCCGCCAGGGGAAGGCCACCACCGCCGACAGGAGGTCCAGGATATCAAATATACCGGGCAGGGACCGGCCAGGGTATCTTAAGCACACGGGATGGCATGCTCGAAACGAGTGGAGCCGACCCTGGGGGTTTGTCTTGAACGAAGCCACTGAATGCCATCGATCACACAACCTCCGGAGTGGACGGACCATGATCCACCCCGAAAGAGGAGAAGAGGAGATTTGGATTGCAGGAAAAGCAACGCTGCATGACACGTGCGCCACCAGCCAGCGCGACGCTGCTGGAAACTGGAGTGTCCCTGAGAATCCAGGACCACCGCGGCAGGCCAACGGGAATGAGGGTAGCGCTTACGTCGTCCCTATCCTTGCCGGACTCTCCTGCAGCAGCCCCAGTGGTCCGCTGCCTCAGGACTGGCTCAGGGACGCGGGCGAACCCTTGCATGCGCGGTTCCTGACTAAAACCTGGCTAGGAGAAGCAATGATAGCCGGTCAGGTGTTGGATGAAGATTCGGATTGTCTACCGGAGAGGGGAAGTCCAACGCCACCGGATTGATATTGGCTGGGGGATGGACGAATGAGACCTGTTCGACGGGCGCAGTCGGGATGGAGGTCAGTGCTTTGGGCTGCAGTCGAGGAAAGCCAGAAATCAGAGTTGATGGAGGGGGGAAAAGAGGGAGAGCAAGAATGGGCGTGGCGTGCAGATGGCGGCCACATCTAGATTACAGCCCCGTCACGGCCAATCACGGGATGCAGCAATGCCAAGAGAGGTTGGGGCCATGTGGGCGGATTCTTCATCGATTGATCATTTTGATGGTGCCTCAATCATGGATCCTAGCACCTAGGAACTAGGAGTACTCCGTAGTGAGGTTAGCAAAAAGCTGGGTCGAGCGTTGCGGATCCACGCCGGAGCAGCACTAGTCCTAAGGGATGCCATTGCTAATTATTGAGATGTCCAAGCTATACTTGGACCAAGGAAATGACACGGCGCATTGATCTTATCATTACCACTAGAGGACCACTGCCATCATCAAGTACTACAGACAGTTGCTCTGTACTGCTTACACAGTAGATGCTCAACCTGATACACTTATCCCTGGTTCTCTCAGGAACCGTTCCCAACTCTGACCTCCAAGCAACGCCGCTGCTCCAGCCCAGTGGAGCATGTCTAATTCAAACACGCCAAACCCCAGCAAGCGAACTATCTTCCCGTCTGGAGTTCGTCGGATTTTCTTTCTTTTCCTTCCTTTTTCTCAAATTTTCTTGGGGTGGTTCCCGCCCCCTTTCTTGCTCGCCCACTTTTTGAGGTGGCAATGACCCGACCGGCGAATGGGAGATTTTCATCCCCTCCCCGCTGCACTGCAGCACTGCAATAGCCGCAACCTCCCTGCCAGCAACGTACAGAATAGTGCAAGGGATCTGCGGGTGAGGTCATGGCTGTGATTATACTAATATCATCATGCAAGTGTAGTTAAAGTTAGCATACAGCGTACTGTGTAGAACACTCTGTAAATTAATAAGGACAGAGTACTCCCATACGTATATACAGATAGTTGTGTTGGAATCAGCGTCATCGGTAGATTACCCATCCCAAAATAGCCATGATTGTCGGATCAACGACCGTGTCGAGTGATAGTCGCTAGGTCAACTCCGACTCCCGAGGCCGTCTGGGTGGACCTAACGCCCAAAGGATCACAGCATAAGCAACGGCCGAACCTACTCCGTAGTATGGGAGAACTCCGGACTTATGCAGGAACGCAGCCAACGGTGGTCGCAGTGTGAAACAGCCGAGCGGGATGCTTATCGGATGGGTTTCCGGGATCCTTAGGAATACGCAGTACACGTAGTGAAGTTATAGTAGAATCAAGTTGAAACTATGCCACGACGCAGTGCATTGCAGTAGACAGATGGACGGGCATAGGCGGAGCTGGGATCCCACGGAGTCCCTGATCATTCCATGAGGTGCGTGCGGAGGTCTCCGGAGTATATTTTTAGCTCGATCCTCCCTTACTTCTTTGTCGTCCACCTCAATAATTACTGCTCCAGCCAACAAATGCCATTGTTGGTGCGCTGACCAGATCATCATCGCATCGTCATCAACTTAACCTTCTGGTTCCAACCCCATGATCCCTCCAATTGATGTCAGTGCACATCATACGTATCATCTCTATGACCAACCTCCCATCGATCCTGTCAGACGCACTGACTCTGGATGAGCATCGGTACTACGACCCTAGATGACCAGACCAGTTCATTGGTCTGGCTCCAACTCAACGCTGCAACTAAGAAAGAGGACGAGGAAACCGGTTTCAACCATCGCCGCGACGAAGAACCCTCCAAGCAACAGCAACTAGCACAACGCTCCCGTAGCGCGCGCGACCTTCAATACCGGCCTAGGTACGATCATGAAACCCACCATTCAGCCATCACTCCCAACCAACCCAAACCAAATCCAAGAATAAGATATATATCCAATATATTTACCAGTGTGCAACGCGGGCACCGATAGAGTACTTAAAAGGATTTCCCAAGCGGTGTGGTGCGGTAGGTAGGTCCATTAGCGCTGTCCTGGCGGTTTCAGATCCGCTATATATGGATTCTACTAACGGAGGTGAAACCGGATAATTGTGCCTATAATATTTACGCTACAGGATTTAGGTTCGGAGGTGTGACATGACAGTTGGAGTGACAGAATGTGGAGGGAGAGGAGAAATGATTATTTGCCTTGGTTTGGGATGTGATGTGTCTGTTTTGCTGGCTAGATGGATGTGCTAGTTTAGGGGAGATGGGAAGTGACGGAGGAGTTGCCTAGATTGGAGAGAGTATTACTTGGGTACGGAGTACCATCATGCGATTCCCTCTCTGTCTCTTGTGTCCCTCCACAAAGTACCTACCTTCCACCTCCCTCACCCCCCGAGAGTGTACCCAAGTGAAGAATTTCATACTATACCACACCATATTATAACCCCCTCCCTACCTACTATGCTACTAGCTATACCCACCATCCGAGTGGATCTAACGGCGCCCCTCTCATCCCAATACTTACGAAGTACATAGTACATTTTTAGAACCATCCCCGTCTTATTCCACTCACTAAAACTACCCACCCCGAGACTATCGATTCTTAATCCCTGTTTACCTACCATAGGCTAGATACTTAGTCTAGATACCGCTAGGCCGTCCGTTACTTGACTGGACTAGACTGGACTGACCGTTACCGTTACGAATTGATGCATGGCCGTTGGTAGTTACCTACTACCACGTACTTATGTGGACTGTGTAGTGTAGTGTAGTGTAGTGTATAGTACGGAGTTAAAACACCGGTGGAGTTCGCGGGAAGGACATGACAGTGACAGTGACAGGTGGGGATTGACACCCTGCTTACCTTAGTATTCTCCCTCGGGACTCCATAGGCTTACTTATCAGTGGGTATATAGTGGAGTCCCAAGCGTGAAGAATGGCATGTTATGTCTTTCACAACTGTATTTCCTCGGAAGAAAAAAATGAATTATGATCAAGGAGTGGAGTGTAGGGAGGGGGAAGGAAAGGGGGGACTGGAGCTGGACTTGGCACATTCTACACGCTAGCTCATCATTCTTCTGGGTCGGAAGTCGGAACTCGTGTCGCTTACCATTACGATTACAATTACATAGTACAGTTAGGATAAGGAAGATAGGGCTTGGTATGGAAGGGGTGCTTCCATTCCGTGGCTGGTCGGATTCAGACTTAGATTTAGATTGCCTTTGGTGGTGGCGATGGGGACATTCCGGAGTTGTGGAGGGGATGGAAAGAATGGAGGTGTTAGATCGTGGGGTTTTGTTTTTTACTACTATGGTAGTGGTACAAATCTTTATCTTTGGTTTTTAATCTATTTTAATTTCTATGTTGGGGTGGTGGTGGTGGTGGTGGTGGTGGTGGTGGTGAGGTCAGGTCGGATATGACGCTCTTCTCTACAGGGTAGATAGATTGAGCATATACCTGGACTTATGAGTGTTCTAGTGAGTGTAACTTTATAATGAATTTGGAGTTTAACAAGAATCCTCGTTATTGTTTCCCTCAACTATCCATCTGGTCTCATGCTCGACTCTATACATCACAAACAAACCACAGAGGGATAGCCCAAGTGACAACACTCTCGTCTACCAAGATATCACTGAGAAAGCAGCAGAGGCACTACAGCGAAGACCGTCACCCTCTACTCTATTTTTCACGTAATCTGCATGAGTTCATAGTGTCCTGTTCATCCAGATGTAGAATACATCTCCAGTGAAACTCGAGGAAGACAATAACACTAGAGCAAGCTGTGCATGGCGATGTCAATCATCTAGAAGGCTATGATAGACTCATAGGATGGATTAGGCTGTGTGCTAGAGGGTGCTGCTTTGGTGGGATTCTGCGGTACTGTGAATGTTTCATTGCATTACTGGTAATCAGTGATGTGTAGACTGCTGTTTGTTGCTCGTCTGTAGATTCAGAAAACTATAGGGTTTACTTTGAGCGATAGCTGCACCTGACTTTGATATCTTGTACTTACAATGTTAGCAGCCACTGGTGTTCGAGACTCGTGCCTGGGAGGGTGGACTTCTAATGCTTTTATTCGAATGAGACGTGACATCAGGCTGGTATTCACGAAAAGAAGTTTGTAGAAGCAAAGCGATTACTACTGGAGTCTACTCTGAAAGGAATGGGCGGATGTGATCTCATTCATTAAGCCGTACAAGTGGTCATAAGATCAGACATTCCACTTTCCAGCACCTCTCTGGACCTCTGCATTCGCATCACAGGATAGGGAAACCTTTCGGATAAAAACCTATCCCGAGGCCATTGCGCTTTCATCCTCCATCGTCCAGAAATCTGACTCGTCGGGGTATTCTAACCGGGACAATCCCGGGCGGGACATCGGGGGTCCGCTCCCCTGTCGTGAGGTGGCCGTTTACAGACCAAGGTCTTCCTTTGGGGTTGTTAGTGGGGGTTGAGTGATGCTTAGGATGGATACTCACGAGCTAGATTGAAATTCGCGTCAGGTGTGTTTAACTCAGACTGAAGCTAGGTTATGGGTACTCACAAGCTAGGAAAGTTAGCATCATCTGAATTAAGGGCTTGGATTGGTACTTACGGCCTGTGGGTGTTGTTTAGCTGGCTGCAAGATCAGTGAACATATAATGCTTCAGGTATCACTCACATCCTGATTGGTTAGTAACAGTCTCGTCTTAGGGGAAAGGGAGTACTCACGACCTAAGTTCGTAGACGAATTAGAACTGATTAGTAGCCATTGGAAGGCTCATCCAAAGGATGATCGCCCAATGCCAGATATCGGGTTTTTTTTCCCAGGGAATAAATAACTCACAGTCTGGATGTCATGTTAGCCTTGCTTCACAGGGGTCAGGAGATAACTTACGTTCTGAAGATAGTTGTTAGAGAAAGAAGCTGACATAGTAGTAGATCACTTTTTAATGGGCGGTTTACTCACCAACTAGCGCACGTTAGCAGATAATACAGCAAACTCAGATGAATTACTTACCACCTATAACAATTACCAAGTCATCAGCATCAGCTGAACTTTCCGGTAGATTAGTGGGGTCACTTACAACCTGTGATATTGTTAGCAACTCACTATATCAGGGGAAGGAAATACTCACTCCCTAGTTCGTTCAGTCAGACATTCCTATGTAAGCACATCGCTAGTTCAGGATAAGATACTCACAATCTGCAAAGTCAGTATCATGTAACTATAGGGTATAGCAGTCACTTACCAATCCAGTGCTCTCCTTTAATGGACCTATATTAGCAGAGTTCAACCTTGCAGATCTAAGCACTCACAGGCTATATTTTGTTAGCATTCAATAGTAAAAGAAACAGGCAGCACTCACAGGGTAGTAGGATCTCTTGGTGGACTCGCCGCACTGGAAGGTCTGAACATCCTTGGCCGAGTTGATCGCGTTCTGGGCAGCCTGGACCTTGGCAGAGCTGGAATCAGTGGCCTTGTCCAGACGAGCCTGGTAGGCAGCAATGTCCTCGCTGATCTGGCTGCAGCTCAAGGAGCCGGACGAGGCGGGGATGGCCAGGGCCGAGGAGGCAAAGAGGGAGAGGACAGAAACGGAGATGACAGAGAAACGCATGGCGACGGTTATAGAGGTATTAGTTATTAAAACTAGAGTTAAACGGGCAGATAGGGGATTGGAGAGATAATGCGATTGTGTTGTTGATGGGATGCAGACAGAACGGCGGGAAACGAGGGCCCTTTTTATGTCTTCCCACAGGCCATCACATCATCATCTAGAGAGCTGCCGTCCAGCACCTTTCAGCCGAACATGAAGATCATCGGCGGGGCAAGGTCAATGCTCTCATGTTCCCACGTTCATCCCCAATAGCAGAGGCGCTAAAGTGATGGATCCCTGTCCTAGTGAACTTATTGCCGGGATCGCGATGATGCTCTGTCTGGCCAGCCTGTCGGATCCATGAAAAAGGGTTAGCATTTAGACAGCTAGAGGCCGGTCTAGCAGGGCTTAGAGAGTATACTTCGGTCATTGGCATTCTAGTGAGCCCCTCTCATGGGCTCGGCGTATAGATAGTCCAGCTCGTAGCGGGACCACGCGCTCATCGGCCAGTGAGGAGATATGAGCCAGCTGCCAGAGCATACTTGGCTTTCAGCTGAACTTCTAGCGATCGACGGATCCAGCCGACAGCAGGATCGAAAGATGAACAGGCACAACGAGCAGCAGCATGCAGCGCCAAGGAGGCAACATAAGCTTCAGCCAATCCAGCCACTGCCGGATCTCTCGGGCTTGACTTGACTATAGGTTTTCTCCTGTCAGCCCGATCCAAAAGCATGGTTAACGGACAAGCGGTGATTATCGACCTACCGCTGGGGAGAAATCCTACGATCGATGAGGGCCTTGCGTGTCAAAAGACTCAATTGCACCGCTTATCGTCAGGCAGCCGCGTGGGACAGGAGACAGACGGTGGAGCAAGCAGATCGGAGCATCGATGGAAAGCATGTAGATCTCGGCTCGGAGTAACTCGAGGGTCGATCGTGACACTTCACCACCAACTTCGATTTGTTTACCAACGCCAAGTGGCCCGGTAGTCGCCTAGCATCCGGCTGTCCTGATAAGCGAGCATGGGCTGTCCATCCATTTTTCGAGTCTCAAAAATGTGATCTGGTTGACCGCCGGACTCGCAGGGCCTGAGCACCGATAGGCAAATGTCACGGCGGCCAGCTGACCCGCAATTGAACAACTAGTATAAATATTCGCGATAGTTCCTACGCGGACTTGCTCGCTTTGTCAGGTCGTTGGTCTCCTTGCTTGTCTGGTCAGCCCCTGGGGTCGAGATGCCGGTCGACGGCCATCCTCAACCCGCTACTTTACATGTCCACACCGTCTATCTTCCCTTCACCTATCTCCTGGCTCAATTTATCTTTCGCGTGACTTCCGGACGGGCTGCGGAGCATAAATAGCACATTCGATAGAATTAACATGAAGATAAACAAGGTCGGAAAGCGATCAATTATGTACAGGTAAAGATCAATTAGACAACACATAACCATGATTACATTTACGTTGACCTTCCCGTCTATTATACTTCACCAGGAAAGGTACCGCACGTCGAAAGGTCCGCATCCGGCAGAAGTAAAAACATCTAGAATACAGCCTGGAAACGGCCAGTGCAGTTGCTTGCCTGACCCATCCCCAGGGAGAACTTCACCCACACCCACACACTCGCTGGGATAGCTTTGCGCCCTCCCTGCCAAGCGGCGGCGCCACATGCATAAGCTGGTCGCGAAGCAAGGCGACCAGGGTCGTCAAGGTCATTCATTAAATAGTTATAAAGTTTTTTGGTGTCGGTGTAAAACGTCGAGGTCAGAATCCAAAGGCATTGTCTCGTCGGGCTCCATCACTGGTCCGCGGATTCACCAGAGACAGTAAGGCGGGCATCTGATAGAGGTCGAGATATGGAGGTCAAGAACAGTATCCGGAACGGCGAATGCCGAACGAGCAGATCACCGGAGAAGCAAGGAATTGCGCATCTCTGAACGATTGGATGAGGTCCAGACTTAAGCCTTGCGGGAGCGGGTAACCGGGCCATTGGCGCGGCCGGTCGACACGGCTCCGTTCGACTTGGCGTTGCCCTTGGCGTCCGAGGACGGCGAAGACACCTCGAACTTGGCCATGTCGATAACAGCCTGCTTGCCGGTGTTGCGGCGAGGACGTCCAGTCTTGGCAGCCTTCTTGTAGGTGGCGATGTAGAAGGAGATGAAGAGGAAGAGGTAGGAGCTGATAACGGCCATTCCGGAGAAGGCAGCGAATTCCTCACCAGCACACTGGCCCATGTTGGGAGCCCAGGGGAAGTAGGTAGAGGAGAAGTAGGTGTAGGACGCGAAGTAGACGAAACCTGTCATCTGATTAGCGGAAGCCCAACCGAACGGGCGGGTTTACTAACCAAGATCGATGACGAACTGGATGATCTGGAGACGAGTGATCCACTCCTTCCACCAGATACGGATACCACGGGCACTCTGGAAGTAGTACCAGTACATGACCACGTGCACCAGCAGGTTGATATCAATGACGACCCATTGCACCGCCGTCAGACCGATGAGCTGAGTGTAGCAGAGGAGAGCGGTAGCGCCATGGTGGTAGGTGTGAAGGAAAGTAAGAGGCTTCTTCTTGAGGAACAGGAAGACGGTATCCAGGAGTTCGAGGTACTTGGTCAAGTAGTTGAGCTATCATGGGTTAGCATACCGGAAGCGGTCGGATGGAATTTTCCCACTGGAGCAGGCACTTACATAGTACAGGACAATCAGAGGCTGAGTCCATCCACCCTCGTGCTCGCAGATAGCAAAGAAGATACCGCGTCTCCAGAGAGTGGGGAGAAGCTGCTCAATGAAGAGAGCCAAGAGAGTTCCGCTGATCAGGGTGAGGTAGAGGTTGTGGATCATGAACAGCGTGTTGAGCTTGAAAGCAGGACGGTTCTTCATGAACTCACGGCCACCGAAGACGATGACATAGTAGGCAACGAGGGCCACTGCGGTTTCCTTGAAAGTAGACATGGGCGTGACACCTTCTTCGAAGCGGAACTCGCTGGCGGGATAGCCCACCACCGTTTCGAAGGCCTTGTCGAAGATAGGCCATAGGTGAATGCCAAACGGCCGATCAATTGTCGGACAGGGCAGACTCTGCAGGAACTCCATGTTGACGACTGACAAGATACCGCTCAAGTCCGAATAGGGTATGCGACGGCGTGGTCAAGAATTGAGCCGAAAGTCAGCAGAATACTCCTTTTTGATTTCTCTATGGTCGCGGAATTGCTGACCAAAAACAGTCAAACGGACTGAAGAGAAGAAAAAGAAGTAAAGAAGACGGGACAAGGAGGTAAAAAGGAAGGAAAGAAGGGAACCGAAGGGTTGAGGGGGTCGTGGAGAAGGAGGAGGAGGAAGAAGAAGAAGCAGAAGGAAAGGTGGAGAGGTGGAATAAGAGCTGACTGTTGCAATGGAAGGAGAATCCATCCGCGTGTCTTTTTTTTGGGCTCCGGCGCGCCCGCAGCATCCGGATGGGGACTAGTGCAGCCTCGGCCAGTGGTTGAAAAGGGGCGAACCCTTCCAGTCCAGCCCGGCGATCATGTGCCATCCCAGGTACCGAATTTCATGTCGCTGCGATTCCTTGGTCAGAATAATATTACTCTCATCCAGCATCCATCTCCTGCAGATCGATGGGTCACCCAGCACGTTGACATGGTCCCAGATGCGTGGCTAAGAGGGAAAGGAATGTATCGATCTGCCCGCTAATAGCCGGCATGGACTCGTCCCGTCATCAGGTTCGTATGGGGAAATCACAGACCACCCTTTCCTTTCACATGCCTCCTTCCTACATCAGAAGGAGTACATTGATTTCATTGACCTTGGACACAATGCTCTGTAGTAGCGGTATTCCGTAGTCCGTAGAAATTACCAGGATGGCCAATTGAGATTGCCAACTTCAGGAATTGTCTCAGTTTGGTGTTGGATGAGCAGCCAACCGTTAAGATTAGCTACTACATCCAGGGCCGTCAGGGCACCTGCAGTGAGTTCTGAAACCAGATCGACCCAAGTTTCCGATTTGTGCTATGGCGCAACTTAGATCTTTACAAGGGTGCCTAGGTTTAAGGTAAAACTCGTCTGACGCATTCCATTCCGTTCGAGAAGCCGTGTCAGTGTCATAAACTGGGGTATTGTACGACGACGCATCTTTCAAAGCAAAATATATCATCGAGTCATACTACTATCGCCATAGCATAGGAGGTCATCCCTACAAGATTATCAGATGGATTCAAAATTGAGGCTGGGGAAATATATAACGATCGCCCCGGGGCATAACTCAAAAGCTCAGATGGACCCGGAACATAACCCTCAGGAGGCCTTCATTTCCATTCTCGGGTTCCGGATCTGATACTGATCCTGCGTTAATATCAGGCTTGGCCGAGTCACGTTGTCCAACTCCCTCCGAGGCATCATGAGAAGCTGCTGGCCAATCAGACCGGACAATTGCAGCACTCCCGCATCCACCAATCACAGCGGGCAGATAGAAATCAGCCTGAGGCCTGGATGGAACCGGGCAGCGAATGACCGCATTGGGGCCTGAGGCGGCAACGGGCTCGGGCGCGAACGGGAAGCCGCAAAAGAGAAGCGGGCGATTATCAATGACGGGCTGACCTGACTGCCGGCCTGAGGCAGCAACAACCTCACACCACCCGCAAAATCCTAGCGTAGCCGGCTGAACCTCTGACTTCGACTTCGTCAACACCTCGCCCGTCCTGATCTCCCCTCACCCACGTCCATTAGTCCACCTCCACAACCCACCTTCCTCTCGCCATGTCGCCCATCTCCGTCTTCCGTGTCGCTACCCGCGCCGTCCGCCCTTCCGGCTTGATCAGAGCGACTCAATTGCCCCGGTCCCGGGTGCAGGCCCCCGTTGCTCTGGCTGTCGCCCGTTCCAGCTTCAGCACCTCCGCTAAGCGCTTCGGCGGTCACCACGAGGACGAGACATACGAGCAGTTCTCTGCCAGGTATGCCATTACCATCCGTGAAGCCATTGGACCCCGACACACCCTGGGTTGCACGATCCCGATCGCAGGGATTCCCACCGTGCTTCCGACATCCCTCCTGATACACACCCGCGAGTTACACCCCGACTGACCCATTCCCCGGTAGATTCGAGAAGGAATTCGACGGTGTCCAGGATGTCTTCGAGCTCCAGGTAAGCAGGTCGCCCATACCACACCATCCATTCATCTATCAGTCCCCATAATCAGCCAAGCTGCCATTGGCAGATAACCCGACCCCATCCTATCTATCAAACACCATGCTGACAGAGTACTCTTTCCTCAATGCAGCGTAACCTGAACAACTGCTTCGCCTACGATCTCGTCCCCTCCGTTGAGGTCCTCACCGCCGCTCTCAAGGCTGCTCGTCGCGTCAACGACTACCCCACCGCTGTCCGGATCTTCGAGGGTGCGCTATCTCCGTCCTTCCCCGTCTCTTCCCGCCCCTTCCCAAACCCATTGACTTATACTTTCTCTTCTACCAATAGGTGTCAAGGCCAAGGTTGAGACCCAGGAGCAGTACAAGCAATACCTCGAGGCCCTGGAGGGTCTCCGTCAGGAGCTGGGTGTTGCTCTCCGTGAGGAGCTCTACCCCAACGAGGAGTAAATTGCACGTTCGAAATATATCTCATCATGTTTCTTTCTCTCTCCCCCACCGTCAATCGTGATAGGAAAGCTGTATACATACTCTAGAGTGCAGTTGGAATGAAGTCGGTGGCTGGTTGCTTCCCGACTTCTCGGCTGTCGGGGGGTGAATGGAGGTGCAACGCGTGCTTTTCTATACCAGTGCTACTATAAATTTTGTGAGCATTTGTCTGTACTCTGTATTATTGGTGATAGTGCGGAAAATAAGAAGGTGTCTTTTCCATTATCATCCATGATTGCGGGTGTATGATGCTTGGTCTATTCAATGCGAGCGGGGGTGAAGAGGGCTCGGTTGGTTGGGACACAGTATCAGGAAGAGTGAGGACAAGAGAGGACAGAATCAGGACGGTAAGCTTCATCTAACAGGGGAATCTTGTATTGGAGTCTTTTGATGCATCGGTAGCGGGAAGCAATATGGGAATAATAGAAATATAGGTACAGCCAGACCGCTCCAGCGATCCTTTCAAGGTAGCATAACACAACGAAGACTATGAATAGGAAGGGCAGTGAAGATATAGAAAAAAGGAAGCCAATCCTTCAAACGCCGCCGAGATCTTTGATAAGAATGGATTTTGAATGACTTGGGTCATGACGAAGGTGTATGTAATGGAGAATGGAACTGGAAGCCGTGACAGACGCATGCATTGAGCCGCATATGCAACTCGTAATGCCGGATGACACAAGATCTCTAGTACCGGGAGTAGACGTCCCTGGTTCCAAGCTCGTGATCATAATGTTTATATGCGGGGAGGAACGATACCGGTTCGTTGCCCTGTTGCAAAATGATTCAAAAACAGCAGGACGGATATGCGCGCCCCGCTGATGCATAACTGATTCGAAAGAAATGCAATTTTTGTGCCAGCACGTTTAGTGCGTTCCGACGTGGTGGAAGTAGCTAGGACGGCAATCCTCCTTAGCCAGCCAGGATTCACCGGCGTACATCTTGCCGGGCGTGCAGCCGGAGCACTTCGGCGAGTTGGGGCAGTTGTAGTAGGGGATGTGGTTATATCCGATGTCACGGAACCTAGTCGAAGCAATATTTGTAAGCGCATGTTCAATGAAGGAGGCAGAGGCAGTCATCATACCAGTGGACCTTGGCCGCATCCGCGAAAAGACCAACACCGATCGAATGCACAGGAGCATCGCCCCATCTCTCGTAGAAGAAGCCACCAGAACGGTCCAGATAATCAAAGTAAGCAGAGTACTGCTCGCCCCGGAAAAACTCCATGTCTCCGATTTCGAAGTTGGACCAGAAATGACAGGTAGAATAACCATTTGCTCCCTCGGTGTGCTCGGGGCGGAGCTGGTCATCGGTGATCCAGTTCATCATGTTATTGTCCGAAAGATAGGAGGGGTTTGCGGCAAGGAACTTCTTGGTCTCGGGCCAAAGTGATGGGATACTCTCTGGAGCGTCGAAGAGGTTGATGGTGAAACCGTAAGTGATGTTGTAGTCGGCCATGTAGCGGAAAATATCGTAGTCGACATCACAGAAGAATTTGACCTTCGGCTCGACACGCCAGTAGTAACGGTATTTGGCGAGAGCAGGATGCTTGTAGAAGAGGCCACTGTTCCAGCGGCACATCTGATGGTAGGAAACCTTGTCGCTGTACTGGATGTTCTTCTCCTTCAGGATCTGCGCGGACTCCTTGAAGAGATCCCAGTTGATCCATTCGGGGACATCCCAGTGCTCCTTGGGGACTTGCTCTGCAAGAAAGCGTTAGATAACCATGTAGTTTGAATTAGACTGATGTCTTAATACCGTAGTAGCATTTCGCCTTAGTCTCCGCCTGAGTGCGCTTCTTGAACTCCTCAGTGAACGGCTGGTCGTTGAAGAAGATCCAGGGGTAGTTGAATTTGCTGTTCCAGGTGCGCTCAAGATCACGCATGGACGGGATCAGTTCGTTCAGTTCCTCGTTACGGACAAGAGAGATAAGCGCCGCATTGGCACGAGGAGAGTCGGTACTGTCGGGAGAATAGTCGCCATCCGTCGTACGCCATAATTTACCCGCAGGTTCTCCAGTGGCTGTGGGAGCGAGAATATCAAATTAGCATACCGGATAATCGAGACAGACAATCAAGGAATAGCGTTGGTGACGGCGTACGATCTTTGAGGGGGTCTGAAGTGATGCCCTCATACGGCTGTGCAGCGTATGACCCCTTACTAATGCTAGTGGGCGTTTTGTTCATCTGAAAGATCAGGAAGAGGACGAGGATGATGCACGAGGCACCGAGCATGCGAATGGGCCTTGCGACAGCCATCTTGCCTGTCAGCGAAGCCCTGAGGACGAGATGGCAGGAAAAGAGCGACAGGAGAGAGCTGGCGAGACCGAAAGTGTCTGGGCCAAGTTGCTGCTATCGCCGCCCGCCGCGACGCCGTAGCCTTCTTTGCCGCCTTTCCTCTTCGGGCCTAGTGTAGTCACCGGCCCAATCAAGCAGTCATCATCACTTCCGACCGGCCGCCCGCGCCTTTCCTCCAAGCGTCAGCGCCGCGTAACCACTTGTGTGTCGACCGGCAATGGGGACTCTCGGTCCTATCTAGTCCCCTTCAGTAGACGTTACAGCTCCGGCATGCTCGAGAGTCTATCATGGCTGTTGCAGCCAGTGTGAGCGCGCTAACGGACGAGCTAATCACCGCCGTTGCGAAGCCCGACCGAAAGGCATTTACTTCCAGCCCACGCTGAAGGCAGATATTGTGCTGACTTGTCTGTCCAGGACACCCCGCATTTTAGGAATTTAAGGCGTCGGGTTGAAGACACGTTCAAGTCGCATGCTTATGCGCGTACGGACCAATTCGCCGTCGCGAACCAGCTCGAAGGACTGCAGGAGAAATTCCAAGTCCTTTGTAGGGATGAATTGGCAGACGCTTTGCGCATCCGGCTGACAGAGCTACATGAGCACCAGAGCTCATGGTTCCCGGAAATCTTATCCCTGCTGTTGCAGTTGGCAGATCGCCCTGCTCAGCAGTCCAAGGTAGAATGGGTGACGGCAGTCAAGCCTAGCGAGGAGGCCAAACCCCTCATCTGGACCGAGCTGGACGCTGTTGGATCAGCGTACTGTGACGAGGATATCTGGGAGAATGTAGATTTCGGTGCTGATTCGTCGGATGAGGACATTGTATCGGTGTCCACTGACAGCTACCATGCACGGAACCAACCAGAAGCATCTATAGATACAGACGAGGATTATATGATTCCGGACGAAGTCTTTACATCTGGAGAGAACGATGAGCTTATTGACTCGATCGCCAAAGCCCAATTCTGGAACGATGGAGAGAGCTCGGTCACAGACCAGGGCAAACCCGCTTCGAGGGTCATTACAGAGCTTCAGGTAGTCAGGGAGACAATATTCTTGTTGCAAGGGCTTCCTACGTCTCTGTTCTGGCGACTTGACGGTAGTGTGGAAATAGACCGGAGATATACCATTACAAACCTGTCGAATGAGACATTTCTGTCACTACTGCGATCATTAAGTTTGACAGGAGCTAAGCTGGACGTTCTTAGGCAGTTTTGCAGCGTGCCACAAAAGATTCCATATATGCAGACATTTCACCGAGGGGTAGAGGACTTCCTGAGCAAGTTTGACACGTTTCTGTCGAATGTGCAGCTTCAATATCTCTCTCGGGTGTCCACCGTGTCTATCAGTCTTCTACAGTTGTCTGAAGACGTTCGTCGCGAGTCCAGATTGCTTTTAATGCTCTCTGACCTCGTGTCCAGCCTGACACCTAACGGATTGAATTCTGCTGTGCGGTGCCTCGACTTGCTGTATGATCTTGTGTGTCTGACACAGGCCACCGGGGATGATGATGCCTTTGTGGCCCTTGCCGAACTATTCTTCTCTTGTTTCGAAACCTACGCACGTCCAATTCGTCTCTGGATGGAGACAGGCCAATTGGACTCTTCTGCAGGTGAATTCTTCATATCCAAAGATCAAAGCGACAGTGACCTACGGACGCTATGGCATGACTGGTACACTTTGGATCAGACTTCAAGGCTTCTAAATGCCCCGAAGTTTATTCAATCTATCGCGCACAAGATCTTCATAACGGGCAAAAGCATGGTGTTTCTGCGACATTTGAACACATCCGAGAAAGACGAAACTCCACGGAAGGTTTCCCTGACCTTTGAGGAAGTATTACCGCCAGGCTCGGCTTCGTTCTGCCTCCCTTTCTCTGTCTTGCTTGAATCTGCATTTGGAAGACTGGTCGACGATAACCATTCCTACACATCAGCTCTGTTGAGGAGAGAGCTGGACCAGCAATGTGGCTTATGGACATCGATCCAAGCACTCGAGCATATCTATCTCAGCAAAGATATGAGCATTTTCGGACCGATTGACAGCAAGATATTCGACCTTATCGACAAAGGAAAAGGTGCCTGGAGCGACCGATTTCTTCTCACAGAGCTAGCCCAAAGTGCATTTAGCCCTCTTCCTTTCATCGACCCTTCTAGGCTTATCGTCCGAACACCCAAGGAGGCGCTCAGCAATGCAAATAGCCGCAGCCGTTCAGTCAAGATGCTGAATGCCATCTCATTCGACTACATCCTACCCTGGCCAGTCGCTAACATTATCACCAAAGACACTATCCGAGGCTACCAGTGTATCTCCACATTTTTCATGCAGATCCGGAGAGCGAAGCAAACAATCATCAAGCAGCGTCTGCAACACAACACCCAATACGACAAAATCCAAGACTCAAGAAACAACACATTGAGCTATGCCCTCCGACACAACATGCTCTGGTTCCTCAACACTCTATACAGCCACATGACCGATTTCGTCGTCTCAACGGCAACCGAATCCCTACGCAAAAGCCTGTCCGCTTCCGCCGACGTCGATGCCATGATAGACGCACACCGCTCATTTATGCACTCACTCGAGGAACAATGCCTCCTATCTACAAACCTCCATCCCCTCCACCAAGCCATCATCACCATCCTCGACCTATGCATCTCCTTCGCAGATGCCCAAACCGCCCGCTACGGCGACAATCACCTCGACCACGCCCGAACTGCCAACAAAACCGCCAAAGTCCTACATCGCAAGAACGCCCAAAGCTATGACCTAGATAACTATGACCCAAGTGACGAGGATGCCGACGACTCCGATCTAGATGAAAATAACCTCGATGCCTCTTTCCACGAAACACATTACCTGCAACGGCTACGAGACATTAAAGACCAATTCGATCGACTGGTCGCTTTCATGGTCGCCGGTCTAAGAGGGGTAGGACGTGTCGACGGTCAACTCAGTTGGGAGATCTTGGCTGAGAAATTGGAATGGAGGAAAGCAGGCGGCCAGTGACAGAATCTTTTACTACGGTTATTATTAGGGGATCTGGGAGGGGGGTTCGGATATGGTTAGGTTTGTGATACCCGGAAAATGGAATTTCGTTTTAATGGTGTAATCGATTGTAGAGAGTCGGTGGACTCTTTCTGCTGCAGTGGAACGGATTCCAGCTCGTTTACGTAGTTCGTATGTTTTCCGAGGGGAGTTGCAGGTGAGGAAGAGTCTAATCTCTGTAGAGGCATTCGGCGCGTTCACTTTATTTGATCGGGTTTCTTAGTTGTGAGGAGTAAATGAGGTTTGATACTGAACGATCCAAATCATTCGCATATTGGTTCCCATTCTGTAAGTATAGTATCTGCAAAGGAACTTTGATATTTCAACATGTCATCATTATGCATCAGATCAAAAAAAGGAAGAAGATGTTAACAATGTATTTATATCGTAAAAAAACAATAACATGTGCCACGGCCCGGCGCGTATTTTTTTCAGCTAACGTAAATGGTGGACTAAACCACATATTTTTGAAATAAAGAGAACAAGTGAAGTAATTATTATCCACATTTTAACCGACCCATCTTCTGGCGCTGTAGAAGACACGGCCCCAAGGACCGATGTCACCCCACTCCTCGGCCTTGGTAGGCAGGTAGCTGGCAATGCCACCCAGGACAGTGCGCTCGGGGTGAGGCATGATGGCCAAGACACGGCCGTCGGCGCTGCGGATACCCGCAATACCCTCGGGACTGCCGTTGGGGTTGGCAGGGTACTTCATGGTTGGCTTGAGGGTGGCATTGTCAACGTATTGAACGGCAGCCAGGCCTTCGCTGACAAATGACTGAGCGGTGGTGCCGGAAGCCGGAGCAAACGAGGCGCGACCTTCTCCGTGGGCGACGACAATAGGAAGGGAGGAGCCATTCATGCCGTGAAGGAAAACGCTGGGGCGAGAAGAATCGGAATCGGAGATACGGGCCATAACCACACGACCTTCGTACTGTTCGCTGGCGTTCCGTTCGAAGCTGGGCCAGTTTTGAGCGCCAGGGATCAGTTCCTTAAGACGAGAAAGGAACTGGCAACCATTGCAGACACCAAGAGAGAAAGTGTCAGGACGCTGGAAGAAAGACTGGAACTCATTGCGGGTGTTGTCGTGCAGCAAGACGGACTTGGCCCAGCCCTGACCGGCACCAAGGACGTCACCGTACGAGAAACCACCGCAGGCAGCAAGACCAACGAAGCTGGAGAGGGAAACACGACCAGAGATGATATCAGTCATGTGAACATCAACGGCAGAGAAGCCAGCCGTGTTGAAAGCAAACGCCATCTCGGCTTGACTGTTGACACCCTGTTCACGAAGGATGGCGACACGGGGCTTGTTGCTGAAGGGAGACAGGGAAGTCAAGCTGGTCAGCAGCGGCATGGCCTTATCCTTCGGGTCGAAGGTAAGGTTCCAAGACAAACCCGGATCGGCATCGTCAAGGATGCTGGCAAACTCCTGGTCAGCGCAAGCGGCATTGTCACGCATCTTCTGCATGTGGTAAGAGGTGGTAGCCCAAGTCTGCTGGAGGTTGGAGCGGCTGTTGCGGTACAGCAAGGTGTGCTTGTGGTAGATGGTGAGGTTCTTCTTGGCCTTCTCAGACACCCGTCCAATCTTGTGGATCAGACCAGCCGGAGGGCCGCAGGTGGCGAAGCAAGAGCGGAACTGGATCTCGTGCTCCTTGCGGACCTGGAAAACGGCACCCAACTCTTCGGTGAAGAGAGTCTCCACCACATCCTTAGTGCTTGAGCTGGAGCAGATGTTGTCGAGCATAATCTCAACACCACAGCGGCCGGCAAACATCATTTCGGCGAGGGTGGTGAACAGACCACCGTCGGAGCGGTCATGGTAGGCGAGAACAATGCCGGCGTCTTGCAGCTGCTGGGTGGCATCAAAGAAATCCTTGAAGATCTCCACATCACGCACATCAGGGCATTCATCACCGACCTGCTTGAAGACTTGAGCAAGGGCAGAGCCACCCAGAGTCTTCCGACCGAAGGAAAGATCGACGAACATGAGAACAGTTTCGCCGACCTCCTCGGGACGACGGAGGGCAGGAGTCCAAGTCTTCCGGAAGTTTCCGACAGGAGCAAAGGCAGTGATGACAAGAGACATGGGAGCAGTAACCTCCTTTGCCTCTTGAGAGGCCTCGTCCTTCCACTTCATCTTCATGGACATGGAGTCCTTACCAACGGGAATGCTGATGCCAAGCTTGGGGCAGAGGTCCATGCCAATAGCCTCAACAGCCTCGTAGATGGCAGCGCCCTCTCCGGGATGGCTGCTGGCCGACATCCAATTGGCGGAAAGCTTCACACGGCTCAGGCGGTCGACCAGGTCGGAGGCGGCAATGTTCATCAGAGATTCCGCAACTGCCATGCGTGCGGACGCAGCGGGGGAGATCAATGCAAGAGTCGGCTTCTCACCCATGGCCATGGCCTCACCGGTCTTGACACCCTGGACCAACGAAGTCGCAGTGACAGCAACATCTGAGACGGGAGTCTGCCAGCGGCCAACCATTTGGTCACGGGCAGTGAGACCACCAACTGTCCTGTCACCGATAGTGATAAGGAAGGACTTAGAGCCGACAGCAGGAAGAGACAGGACCCGGTTCGCGGCTTCGCTGATGAGCTCGAGATTGTTCGACGCAATGGATGGGAGGTATGTGGTGAGACTGGCGTCCACAGCGGGCAGCTTCAACTTGCGGGAATCCACAACCCTAGTCATCTTCGGGGGCTTTCCGAAAAGAACGGACAGGGGCAGATCAATGGGCCTGGGGTACTCAGTAGACTCCCTGTCCAAGAGAATGAGTCTCTTTTCTTCCTCCGAAGTTCCACCTCCGCGGCCAACGACGGAGAAACCGCAACGTTCACGGTTGGCAATAGCGGTGAACTTGTTCATGCTTTCTTCGCCAACTGCCAGGACGTATCTCTCCTGCGCTTCACAGCACCAGATCTGCATAGGGCTCATGCTCTTGTCGGCGCTGTCCACTTCGCGGAGTTCGAACGTGGCACCCAGGCCAGAGTCGTGAATCAGTTCCGGAAGGGCATTAGAAAGACCTCCAGCACCAACATCATGGATGAACTTGATGGGGTTGTTCTCCCCCATGGCAGTACACGCGTTAATAACCTCCTGAGCCCTGCGCTGGACTTCAGCGTTTCCTCTTTGCACACTGGCAAAGTCCAAGTCTGCAGATCCCTCACCGGAGGTGATACTGGAGGCAGCACCACCGCCGAGACCAATCAGCATGGCAGGGCCACCCAACACAACGAGGAAGGCACCGGGCTTGACAACCTCGGGCTTCTTGATGGCGTGCTCGGGTCTGACAGTTCCCACACCACCGGCAATCATGATAGGCTTGTGGTAGCCGCGGAGCTCGGTCTCGCCGTTGCCAACATCAATCTCAGTCAACAGGGTACGGAAGTAACCGGAAATGCAGGGCCGTCCAAATTCGTTGTTATAATGAGCACTTCCAATGGGTGCCTCCAACATGATATCCAAGCTGCTTGCGATGTGGTTTGGCCTGCCAACGTCCAGCTCCCAAGGTTGCTTCAGATCAGGAATGAGAAGATCGGAGACACAGTAGCCGGAGAGACCGGCCTTGGGCTTCGAGCCCCGGCCCACAGCGCCCTCATCACGGATCTCACCACCGGATCCAGTGGCAGCACCAGGATAAGGTGAAACAGCGGTAGGATGATTGTGGGTTTCGACCTTAGCCAAGAAATGAACGATTTCCTTGGTGTGATTCCATTCTCCAGTGACCGAGTTGGGAGCCCAGAAAGCGGATTCATCTCCTTCAAGGACGGCAGCATTATCACTGTAGGCACTGACAGTGTGCTCCGGATGCTTCTTATGAGTGTTGCGAATCATGGCAAACAAACTGTTGGGCATTTGCTTTCCATCGATAACCCATGATGCGTTGAACTGCTTATGACGGCAGTGTTCGGAGTTGACCTGAGCAAACATGAACAGCTCAACATCGGTGGGATCACGGGCAAGAGGGCCATTAGGACCGTAAGCTTCAGCCAAGTAGTCAATTTCAGACTCCTCAAGAGCCAATCCGAGCCGCTTGTTTGCCTCCTGGAGAACCTCCTTGGGCGATTTGCCACTTCCGTGCAGGGGAATCGTCTCGAGAGGCTGAGGGCTGTGCTCGGAGAACATCAGGTGCAGGTCAGGCTCCTCCTCACTGAGAACCTGGGTCATCCGATCGTGCAAGGTATCCTGGTATCCTGCCTTGTACTCGCCAGAGCCTGAGCGAAGGCAGGAGATCTTCATACCCCGCTCAATGCGCTTGACGTACTTGCGCAAGCCGCAAACGTGGGAGATACCGGTAGCCTGGGAGCTCCAAGGGGAGATGGTACCAGTGCGAGGGAAGACATGGAAGACATCGGAAGGACCGTCTTCAGGGCTGAAGGTGGGCGGGATGTCGGTGATATCGCCGTAGCGGAGAAGCTGTTCCAAAACACCCTGTTGGGGAGCGTCCAACGGCTGAGCGAGGTGGACATAGTGAACCCATTGGGCACGGACATCCTGTGCACCAATGCTAGCAGCAATGGCACGCCCACGGGAGTGGGAGAAGGCAACGGAGCCCGGGATGGCCAGGTACGTGGAGTCGGAGGCCATTGTGAAGTGGTAATCGGTCGGCGGGGGAGGTAGGGAAGGGAAACGAGTCGTTTGTGTCAATAGAGCAAGGAACAATAAAGTCCCCTTTGTCGAGGTGTCACAGACACACCTCTAGAGTGCGAGTTCGACTGACTGGGGAGCACAGCGACGGGCGTTGAGCTGCTCGTCCGTGTTGCGTGAGTCAAAATTATTCTCTCCACCGCTGGGGGGAGTGGGAAAAACCACCCCCGCGCTAATCCCCTTCCGGCTTATCGCCTCCTTATCGGTCCCGTGCGCTTCGTTTTCCCCGGAAAACTGCAGCAGGAACCACGCCGGGCACCTCTGGCGCTCATTGCTGACAGCCTGATTCGCCACCAAATGCCCTGGAATGGATCGAGAATGGAGCTACACGGTGCTTATGGTATCGATCCGAGAATCAAAAGTTCTCCAGGGTCCAGATCCGATGTGCATCGCGAAAGAGGCATGGGCGGGTCTTTCGGGAAACACTTGCTACCAATGTGAATCGCAGATCTAGTATATACGGTACGAAATACGAGACAGACAAACCTACTGTGAAGAATGCGCGACGAAGCTGAGAGGTCATAGCTCCATAGCTCTTGGATGATGTTGTCATTGAGCGAGTGCTGATGCCCGTTGCTACTGTACTGTGTAGCAGGACGGAACTGGGGTTGACAGCAAAGGGCAAGTTTGGGAGCTGCCCAATAAGGTGCAAGCTTTGAAGTTACTGTCTGACAATGAATAACTACTTTATTTTGCTCGAATTAATGAACTCCACCAGAAATTCCCCGGGTTCACATTTTCCATTACAAACGGATTGCCTGCTTATAGGGGAACCTTCCTAGTTGGGAAACATACTCCGAACCACCATAGCGGACCTTCAAATTCTTCAGTAACAGCAATTCATTGGGTTCCTAAGCACCCAAACCTGCCAGTGGAGACTAAATGCGCAGATAAATGACAAAGGCTGAAGCTATAGCCTCGATTAGGGTCTGAGGCAAGAGCTGCCTCTTCACCGAGAAGAATTTTTATCGCTACTTGACTCATTCTATTATGAGAGAGCACAGTCCGGTACCCATGGGCGGTTCTCTCTGATCACAAAGTGGATCCTATAACCTCATGACTATGGGTTGATTACTCAGGCATCCAGACTGTATCCTATACGTGTGGAGTTGCTTGCATGAATACCCCCTGACCGCAGTTCCCAATTAAAAACAGAATACCGTATGACTGTAGGTTCCTAGTACTATCAACTTGATGAATAATAATACATGTAGTACCCTCGCGGCGTATTCCCTAAGAAAGCTAGCCGGTAAGCTCCTGATTGGGCGAAATAAGTATAGGGCCCGAGTGCTTTCCTGTTCAGGTAAGAATCCTTGCTGCCGTCCGCTATTCCTTCTTTCCCTTCCCTTGCCTCGTATAAAGGTCAAACTGGACCTTTCGTTGTTTGGTGATCAAGGCGAAAACAATTGTCTATAGGAGCAGACAGGAAGCTCATGTCACTCAACACTGCCATTCTGAGAGCCTCAAAAAATTGGTCTAAAGTCTTACACGGTACTGCATCATGGTGATGTTGTTCACATCATTTCTCGTTGCTTCTCGAGTAGTGTTATCACTGCTCATACTGAGGGCCCCTGAGAAACATTTGTCGTTTCTCAAGAGGTCGGACTCGTTTTCGTGGCTGTGATCGTCATAGTCTTTGATGTAGGTAGGTCGCTTCAAGTCCCCTTGATTGATCTTACCCCGCTAGATAAGTCTAGGCCTACTAGTTAGCATTTTCTCCCTTGTCCAGATGATTGGCAGGCGGGTTGTAATTGCAATCACGCGCCTGATGGCTGCCATGTCTATTGTCTCATGTCGTTCCAATTATTGGAACTCTCGTTTTCTGCAGGGCGATCGATGACATTGTGATTATTATGCCATGACGCTTGTTGGTGGTACTTTGGCTAACCTTTAGAAGAATGAAGAATGAGACACGCCCATGGCAGTGTTCTCGGCTGGTCTTTTCATTGGACCGACCATTGAACCACTGGCTGGCTGTTTACTTGCGGATGCAACCAGCTAGAAATGGCTCTACCGCATGCAGTTGATTCTGGCCGATTTTGCTTGATTTCTGATCATCTTCACTGTCCCTGAGACATACGCACCAAGTCTATCTCGAAAGAAGAGCAAAGCAGTCGAGGAAAGCGAAAATTATGTGGCTTATTGACTTGGATAGCAGCAGATACTCCTGTACTTTCCGGTCACTCTGAGTCCCTACCCGGGAACTTAGATGCTCATGATAATGGATTGCTGGCAGCGTCCATCCTGACAAACCCTCAACAAGCCGAGGCCTTGACTTTCGATCTTTCTGTTTGATCAGCCGGACGGACGTCTCTGCCTCCGTATCACAGGACGATTGGTTGTAGGGAAAGATCTACACTAAAGCACCTGAGTGGGTCAATTATCTCATGCGCCGTACAGGCTAGATTGTGTCTGTCAGAAGGTTATTAGTACCATAGTATGATTGACGTTAGACAACCATGACCAGTAACGCTGTAGCAGTTGAAAGAATCCCAACACAAGCAACCTGGCTCACTGCGTCCATCTTCATTACGTCATATAGCCAAGACCCGAGCATTCTAGGTAGGGCTTAGGGTTCCTGCCAAGGTCCCCCTCTTTGGCACGTGACCGGCTTATGTGCTGAGTCATGGGTTGCTGCATGAACCGGTGCTAGTTAACTAAGTCCGTCTTCAGCACTACTTTGTGCCCAGCTACCTCGGGAGGAGATTCTTGCAGCGAGATGGTGCGGCCCTCGCTCATCCTAATCGTCATCTGAGACCCGCTTTCAATGGACTAATTATTTAGTATCTACTATCGATGTGAAGCCTGCAACTTACCGACCAGTGCCAAGCCGCATTCATTCTCCCGCTCACGCCGTCGTCGTCGTCGCTGTTCATGTGAGATAGCATCGATAAACCAGCAACCACTCTTTACTCTAGCCGACGCACAGATTGATATCCCGACCCAGTCTCTCTTTTATCAAGTCTTTTCGCATTTTCAACCTCCCGATGACTTCACCGTACCAGCCGTCCCTGTCGTACTCGCCGTCTGTTGGCGGCCCCGACATGACAGCTGGTTCCTCGAGGCCTGTCTCCGACCTGCCCCAATCTCAAGTTGACGCAATTATCCGTACCAAGCGAAAGGCGCGCGAACCAAAAGCTTGCTACCCGTGTCACGCTCGAAAAGTCAAATGCGATCGGAACCTACCATGCGATGGTTGTGTCAAGCGCGACCATGCCGATCTTTGCTCGTACGAACGTCCATCGAAAAAGCGCGTTATGACTGGCCCGATCCCGCAGCCATACCGTGATGGTCCTATTGTCGGAAATCAGCCTGCTGGTGCAGAGACTCTTGGGTTCACGGGCGAGGCTCCCGTGCGCCTGAAACAAGAACCGGGTGTGGGTCGACCAAGTGTAACAGGGAATGGAAGCCGGGTTTCAATTGCGCGCGAGGAGTGGGACAATGTTCGTACCAGACTGAAGGAAATGGAGCAAACGATCAACAACCTCCGAGTTGGTCTGGAAAAGGCGGAGGAAGGGCCGGCGTCTACCTTGGAGACGGGCAGTGTGCAGAGCGGGGATGCAAGTAGCCGGTCCAAGGCTGCTTCTCCGGAACGGGAGGGCATCCATGCGCCGAATACATTTGGCGAAGGCACTGTTCACCTGGGGTCTAGGTCAGTCCTAGCCTACATTTTGAACAACAAATCCGGATCCGATCAACTCCAAGCGCTCTTAGAGGGTGGAATCTTGCCGAAGCTGGGGTTGGATAATGAATCTGCAACATATCCGTTCGTTGACCTGTGGTCTTCGGACATGTCAACGTTTGATATCAGTGCAGTTTGCAGTGCATTGCCGAGTGACCAACAATGCCAAGAGTTAGTTTTCATGACTGAGTCGGCTATGCTGGGGTATTGACCAAGGGTTGCTACAGGTTTTTCTACTATTACCGAGATATAGCAGGCGCCATCTATCCGGTCCTGGAGGATGTCCCTCAGTTTGAGGCAAACCTTAATCTCATGCTACGGAATCGGACGTCTATGGGTGGGGTGTATCGCGGGGATGCCGACCAAGCCCAGAAACCTTTTGGTGTCACTATTGCCTACATGGGTCTGCTGTTCGCCGTGCTGGCGTCTGGCTGCCAGTCGTCGGATTTGCCAGGCAAAGAAAGAGAACTAACCTCTCAAGTCTACGGTACGTGTTGAATAATGCCGGCCGCGCCAATGGCGATACTAACGTGGTGCAGTATGCTGCTCATACCAGTGTCTGCGGATGACCAACTTCCTGTCCCAGCCCACGGTAGACGCAATGCAGACGCTGCTTGTGATCGGCAATGTATTGTCATACAATATGAACCCCGGAATATCGTATGTTCTGCTCGGTATGACCCTTCGAATGGGGCTGGCGCTTGGTTTGCATGTGGAATCTGGTCATTTCACTGCAGCGGAGCGATATCGTCGACGCCATGTCTGGTAAGTTGCCCGAACTGCATCGTGGTGCATAGCGGCTAATGCCATCTAGGTGGTCTATGGCATGGCAGGATAGCCACTTCTCCCTTTCTTACGATCGGCCTTCGACGACCGCTGTCAGCCAGCCCGAAATTGCATACCGTGAAGACCGGAAGCCCGGCGAAATATCTTATTTCGAGACACTCTGTCGCATCATATCCCTGGCGCTGGAGGTGGTTCGCAGTCGAATGTTGAGCCCGCACTCGCAACTGAGCTACAAGACCATTCAAACCTACAAAGAACGCATCCAGCAGATCATGATCGAGGCCAAGCCTCATCTCCGGGACCGCAAATACTGCCTCTCAGCAACGGAACACCTGGAACGGGTCGTCCTCAAGCTGCACTCCTCTTATTTTTCTTCTGAGCTCTGCCGGCCAGCGCTCAAAGCCACTGCGGACATCAGCGACCCAGCCTTGTCCAGCATGCGCACAGACTGTGTGAGCAACTTGATGACTACGGTGGAAGCCTATGTCGAGATGCATACCGTCAGCTCCCACGCATCGCGCTCATGGATTGCCTTGCAAAGAGCAATCAGCTCTATCTTCTTGCTTGCTGTCACCGAGGAGGTCAAAGGCCATTCTCGTTTCTGGACTCTCCTGCAACAACTCAAAATGATCATTTCCGAACGAGCCAACATCGAAGGCGAATTCGCGGCCACTGAACCCACCGTTCCTCCGACTGACGGTAGCGTACGCCTTGGTACCGTCCAAAGACCCCCCAGCACCGCCGCCCCTAGCCCCATGGGCATCAACTCCGCTTCTCCCGCATCTGCCGGCGTCGCTGTCGACACTCAGACTCAATGGGCCAAGCCCCTGACCAAGACCCTCCGCGCCCTGGAGAAGTTGGAGGCTGCGTTCGGTGCCCAGGCCGCCCGGGCTGCGAGCCAGGCAGGATCCCCGGCGTATCTGAACCCAGGCCCCAGCATGGGCGTTCCACCCGTGTCGGCCAGCATGACACCCAGCCTTGGATCCCTTCCGCCGCCCACACCGGAAAGCTCGACCAGCGGCGAGTGGACGATACCCAATATCCTGGACCGCGCATCGGAGTACATCCACCCCCCGCTCTGGAGCTAAGGGGCATACGACCGGTGTACATTTGCACTCTAATTAGGCGCTTGATTTTTTTTGCTGGGGTACAGGGATTGGCTAGGTAGGATAGCACGACCGGCGCATGCACTCTGGGAACAACTTGTATTCGAACTTCTAGTACCATACTACATCTATCCATCCATTATATCTTTCCCCTCCTGACTCATATCTTCCTCGCCGGCCTCACCTCTCCCACACACTCCCCAAACCCTACCCCCTCCCCCGCCCAAGCCGACAACGTCACCACATCCCCATCCTCCAAATACACCCTCTCCCCACCCCCCTCCAACTTCGCCGCCACCTTCCCCCCCTTCGTCACCTCCAACAAACACCCATACTCCCCCTCCTTTTCCCCACTCACCGTCCCCGTCCCCAACACATCCCCCGTCCACAAATCACACCCCGTACTCGCCAAATGCGCACACATCTGCCTTACACTCCAGAATAACTCCCTCGCATTCGACCGTCCCAAAACCGTCCTCTTCCTCCCTTTTTCTTCCTCTCCTCCCTCCTCCACCTCCACCAAAACACTAATATCATAACTCGCCTTCCCGGGATCCACCAAATGACTCGGTAACGGAACCCGCGGCTCCGGACCCTCCGTCTTAAATGGCTCCAGGGCGTCCAGCGTCACAATCCAGGGCGAGATACTAGTGGCGAAGTTCTTTCCATTGAGCGGGCCGAGAGGGATCATTTCTAGACCTTGAATGTCGCGGGCTATTTTTCATTCCACATAGATATTATTAGTATCAAATTCCCCAGTACCGAACATAGAGTAAGAATGAGGGAGGTGGGAGGATGTATACCACTCCAATCATTAACCACCACCAACCCAAAAATATGCTCCTCGGCATCTGCGGCATGCAGGCCCTGCCCCGGAGACAACGGACGACCAATGATAACGCCTAGCTCGAGTTCATAGTCCAGGGCGCGGGTTGGAGCGAAGATGACTTCCTTGGATGGGGACGTTCGGTCGTAGAAGTGTCCCACGGGACGAGTGACTGGGGTTCCGGAGACAAAGATGGTGCTGGCCCGGCCGCTGTAGCCGATGGGGAAGTGGAAGAATGCGGGGGGTGGGGTGGGGTTGTTGAGGATGGCGCGGCCGGCGTTTTGGTTGTGGGGGAGGCTGCAGCTGTAGTCTATTGCATTGTATTAGTTTTGGGGTGGTTTTGGGGAGGGTTGGG